ACAATCCCTTTCCTAGTATGATAGAGGATGGGTGGATAAATGATAATCTACTGTTTCTTAACAAGCAATTGCTAGTAGATCAGCCCAGGATAATTATTCATTTAAAGGTTGCTGTAATTCCTTCCTTCACTTGACAACAGCAATATCATTGGCTTACAAGTCATTTCAAGTACCTTTAAATGCATGATACCTTTAGGATACTTATAGCTGAAGTGAAACATTGAACAATATAGTAATTAATTAATAATATTTAAACAACTTTGACATAAATATGAATCAATTCAAGTCAATTCCAAAATGTTGCCCAAGCACCCTCTTTTTATATATAACTCCACCAGCAAAGATTTTAAGCAAGTGCATAACAATGATACTGTCGGCACAATACATCAACAGTAACGAATGAATTACAGGTCAAATGGACCCAGTCTTGGTAAGCCCCAATTCCAATGGTTAGGTTTCGTTGGGCTCTCGTAAGACTATGCCCATTTGATCAGTTTCCTTTGACTATAAGAGCCTTAATACTGTACCTCAACAATACCAAGTTTATTTTTCTCCCTGACAAGAGTAACGTAATAAAGTTTTACATAATTTGTATTAAAAAAAATGAGAAAGTTCTATCCACAATATACAGGATTTGAATACATAAGACTGCTCAATCTCAAATTATGCAGAGCTAAAGATCTGTTGGTGAACGTTAAGATAAATTTCAAATCATCAGTGTTATACTCCATATGGATATTTCCAGGTAAGCAGTCAACATGATACTGTATATGCCTGACACTTGACAACACATAACACAATGTATTTCACTGATACTTTCTTATCAAAATTCTAAAACAGAAAGACTGCCATGACATCCTATCTTATACATAGTCAAAAAATTTTCAGGAGTTCTATTTCAAGCAAGAAAAGTTCTATACAATACGAAGTACAGTATGCATCAAGATCAATTTTAACCAACCCCAGAAAGCAGACTAGCTATTTTCTCCTTTCTATTATATGGGGCTGAGAGGAAGATTATTTTCATTTAAATTATTTCACTGTTTAATATGATTTACAATTTTACAGAATGCCTATTACATGAAAGATTACACACTAAGACTCGCCAATCCACACACCTTTCAAAACACAGCCTTAATACAAATGCCCACAATGCTAGTAATTATATACTGTTAGGAAACATTTTCTCACATTAACTTACAACTGAGAGGAACTTTCTCGACAGACATCCAACAGGCAAGATCCCTATAAAAGCAACCAAGTCTGAGTATTGTTTTTAGAATAAATCTTCAATTTATACCCTAATTCCACTATTACACTTGACACCTGGCATATTAAAGACTTAACATACCACAAAGTAAGACCTTAGGTGACCTCCTCCTCCCTGGGCATACTCCAGTTACCCTTCAACTCTGCCACGGGTCGTACCAGGTGCTTGATGGTCTTCCAGTCGGCTTTGTGTTTGGAGATGGTATGCATCTTTAGATTTCCCTTCAGGGCAGTGCGGTAAGGACAGTACAGACAGTGGAATGGCTTCTCACCAGTGTGTATCCTCAAATGGGCATTTAAGTTAGTCCGGTGGCTGAACTCTCGTCCACAGAACTGGCACACATAATCTCGTTGAATCTTGTCCTTTTGCTGGAGATACTCTCCAGGCAAGAGGCCTTCACCCACCATCATATTCTGTTGTTGTGAAAAGGGCGAACTTCCAGCACCACGGTGTTGCTGAGGGAGGAGGCGGAGTGGTGGCTGGGAATCCCCTGATGAATGAAGGAGGCCCAGAGCAGCAACAGCAGCCTGAGGGAGGACGGGAGAGTCACCTTCGGTCCACTTTCAAAAAGTCTTTAAACTTGTCATAAGCTTGACTGTCTGCTTCATACTGTTCATCTAACATATTAGCAGAACTTATAAACTCACTTTGTTTTATAATAACTGAGAACAAAAAATACTTTTAAATACTCATTTCCTCCCTTCCCATCTTGCAGTTACTTTCAGATTCGAATTAATGTGTTTTGCAAGATGCATTTCAATCCACAGAAAATGAAAGATGCTTGATTCTGAAGAACTAAGATTATTTACAATGGAGAATATCTGATGATCTGCAAACACCGTAAAATTAAGAAAATTTAGATATACTGGGAGCAATTCCTTGACACTTTAATTACTGGTAACTTAAAAAAAATAATAAATTGCCCAAAAATTTGATTGCATAAAAATAATTATTTACTCACCATTAATCACCCAAGTACTGTAGTGCCCTTATAACTTCAAAAGAGCACTAATTATTACAACTTTCTATTGTTAAATCAATCTAATGAAGCCACATCAATGGAGAAACCCAACCAGATAGAGTTTGTAAAGTACATTATATGGTAAATTAATACGCAGTAATTATGGCAGCATTAAAGACATTTGCAGCAGAGAAAAATTTTTCAATAAATTTTTTTATGATCATCCAGACAAAAACTAAACCCGTCACCTCCATTGGAATTTTCCAACCTCAAGAAGTAATGGAAGAAATATTCTACAACTCCTAAGTAACACCATCAGTAACCACAACCAGTTTATTTTATGGCCAAAAGGCATATATGATAAATGATGATTACTTTAAGTTTTGATTGGCGTTATTCTTGCTTTGACAGAACAGGAAGGGTGAAGTGGATCAACCTATCACGTTTTAATTAAGTACAGTACTGGTATACTGTTACATCATCATAGCACAGCAGCAACTCCCCACTGCCTGAATATCTTTGTAAGAATAGAGATTATTTCTGAATGATCAGCCCAATGCTCAGACATCACAGGTTATGATACTGGTAGCAAAAATAACAAACCCTGCATAGATAATACATAAAAAAGGAATCATGTAGTGAGCTTGAATGACCTGCCTAATTCAGTACATAAACTTCCCTACACCTGCCAGGTTGAGCCATTAACTCAAACTTTTGAGTGAAGGAACCCCTGCATTTTCAATTTTCCACTTGTCATTAACAATTTGGAATTCCCCTGGGTATGGTATAGCACCATTTTACTGACCTCTTAACATCTTCTTTTATATAAAATTAACCCAAGGAAATTCTTTTATACTGGAATGTAAATACTGTTTGAATAATATTGAGATTTACTTTTGTTAACAGACTATGACACAGATGAAATGCACTGCTTTAATAATTTCTGAAGACTGACGCATGTGTAATTACACTCAACTTCCCTTGTGTGTGTGTTTGTATATACTGTAACTTTTTGGAGGAAAATTTGTATAAATTATAATCCAAACTTGTAAATGCAGAATGAAGGGGTACAGGTGGTATAAATTACATGAGCAGATACTGCTGATGAAACCCTCAAAACACAGTAAAATCCCATTACAGGATAACAATTACGTCATCTATCAATTATCCCTTTTCTGCAAACAGCAACCCAGAGAGCCAAGCCACTCATCCACCTTCTCACCATTAATCAAAGGTTATGAAAAGCAGTTAGGATCTCCTGTACATTACATCATTTGGTGTTCATCAACTGCATCCCTGTACAGCATTAGCAATGTTATAAAAAAAACAGTTACTGGTTTACATATCCTCTACTCTGAAGAAGTGAGTTACTGCACTTTCATAGTAAGAAAGTGAGATTACAACATGCGGACCACTACATTGTATGAATTAAAGCCCTAGGAGTAGATAATGTAGTTTTATTCTGAGAAAAAGAGTAGCAAAAGAATATACAGTATTCCCTTAAAACTAGCGGTTTTAAAGCTTGCATCCCTCGGAAACTCACGGATTGCCAAGGAAAATGAATAAAATAGATCTGAGGCTGTGTGCCAGGGATCAAGAGGAGTATGCACTACAGGGCAGTACAGAGTACCATATTTCCCAAGGCATAAGATGCACCCTATAATTAGGAAGGTATATTTGTGAAAAAAAAAATTGCAGATGTAACAGCCTAATGTACTAGCAAAGCCAAATCACTGGCTATATGCTGTCATGTCTCTCGCTACAGGTACCACAGCTCACTGGGTTTTTTTAGGGGGGTGGGCAGCAATAGTACACAGATTTTTAACATTCACGGGTATCTCTGTTACCTAACCCCCGCGTATGTTAAGGGCCGACTGTAATGGGGTTTTTCTGTACCATAATATTTGTCTTTAATGTGTTAGTCCTGTCCCACTATAGTACAAGGTGGCAGGAAACAAAAGCACACGTGCACACACACACACAGACACACATACACTTCACCTTCCATCCTCCATGCACTCTTCCCTGCTGTAACAACCCTAAAACCACTTGACACCATACTTTACCTTATGTCAGACAAATGTAAACCATCTTACAGGTCAATTCACTTTTCTACACTTCAGTATATAAGACTTAATAAAATAAAGTACATAACTTCAGCTTCGATTATTATTAAACTTAGTGAGGAGAACAGAAGAGGAAACAACACAATGTGCGTACTGTATATAACTGACACATCTCAACACCTTTAATACAGTATACCCATGTACTGTAAGATCCTATGTTGTTCTTAAGTGCGTTACTATCAATATTGTACTTCTGTAAGCATAACTTACATGTTTATACACAGTAAAAAAAGAGTGCCAATCGTCACTTAATTTAGTAGCTCATAACCATGTGTTGGTCAAATCTTATTAACAAATTATTTGTATATTCACCACAACTTTATTATAAAATGTTATTCTGTCTAAAATAATCTTACAAAGGTCCATATACGTTAGAACAGTAACCAGACAAAACAATAACCAATAGAAGATGATCAAATACTATGAATCTGAAAGTTGGTACTGTAAGGAAACCGTCTCTGACAATACAGAGCTTCTAGTAACTTCCCTAATCAAACCATAACTAATAATAATCAACAACCAAAAAAAAAAAGTACACAAAACTTAGAAACAAACCCGAGTACAGCACAATACTACACTCAGTTGAGAGTAGACAGGCAGTATACAAGTAAAAGAGAGACTATCATAATGCTAAGTCACTAACCTTCTGTTGATGGTGAGAGAGGGGGGTGTGTGAAGCACCACTAGCCTGGAGGTTGTGGCCGGGGAGGCCACGTCCCGTGCCACCGTCCCACGGTTCTAAACTCATCTGGTGAGAAAATTTAAATCTTGCACCAAACTATTTCATCATTGATATCAAGCACAGGATACATTATATGCCATTGGGAACTTACACAAGCAACTAGCACTACAAATATTTCTGTATGATTCAACAAGGACAAATCTGCCATAATCTATCACCAGGGGCCGGTTAAAAACAGTCAGGGTTGGTATTTACAAAGCAGGATCATACAGTGAGTCCTTGTACAGGTATACCCAGTAAATCTAGGTCCCATTGACTGATGCTTCACATAACCGACGAGTACAGGTATTAGGGAAATACCTGGCAAGTTTCACTGACTACCCCATTTATCCGACACTGTGTGTTACGTGTCCCAATGATACTTCCTCTTCTGTTTAACCCATAAACGATGGCTAGCATTTGAAATAGAGAATACTGTATTTTGTTTTCAATGGGATAGTGTGCAGTGGTCTATAATCATATTTGATTGAGACCTAACGAGAGCTAATAGGTACAAGAGATGTTCGTATGTTAACATGTTGGAGGTCAGGTGGGGGGGTGGGGGGGGCTGGTCATTGCCACATTCACCACTATGTTTTCATTTACAGTATACAATACAATACAGCATAATATTTTACTTCAAAATAAAAACAAACTGAATCACAAGGTACTCCTTCTCTTGACCGCTCACCTCCTCCCTCCATAAAAGGAGGGGGGTGAGGGTTGGGACTGGCTATACCATGTTTACCAGTTTGTTTTCATTTATTCATTATTATATTCTCATATGATCAGCCTCTTATGGTGTAAGTTTCTTCATAAATAATATAATATATTAAATAATAGAAAAAATATGCTATAAAATTTGCAATTTGACTTAAAAATAAAAGGACAAGCTGTATCAGAAGATAATCTCTTCCCTGACCACTCTTCCCCTCCCGCCGACTTCCATCAAAGCCAGCTTTCGACCAGAATATAATTGATTCATTATTATTATGCAGGTATTCTACTATGATCAGCCTCTTATGGTGTGCAATTCCTGTAAATAATATAAAGTCTTCAATAACAGAAAAAAATATAACACTGTATATAATTTGTAACCTAACAAAAAGTTCATTATGAGAGAAGCCATTTATGATGAGAAATAAAATAAAACAAGTTATCAAGATGAAGTTATTTACTCTACTGTAAACTTTATCATTTTTATTTTAAAATACAGTAATGAAAACTGAGACTTAATAGAACTTGACAGTGTGTACCATAGAGATATATCAAGGGTAGGTGGGAGTTTTGGGGAGTGGGTAGTCCCTAACCTCCTGCATTTGTTATATTCTTATGGGATTTATTGCTTCGATAACCATTGATTCACTGTCCATTGACTTTTCGCAGTCTGCACATGCATCGGTTAGCAAGGTATGGCTGTATCTGAAGTTGTAAAAATGCACCTAAATGGTTGTCAGAAACTAGACGGCAAATATTTATACTGTATGCAGAAACTTTAAAAAGATTATGTATGATAATTTTATAATGTGTGTGTGTGTGCTTTGTGATTATTTCTCATTAAGGATGTTTTTAAAAACTTAAGCAAGATTCTGCTTATAGGCATGGCATATCTCAATTACAACACCTATTAATACTTCAAATATTTCAAGAGTAATATACCTGATAGTACTGTATCACAGTATCTGCCACTGTCAATGTTTCCACAAGAACTCCAATGACTTGGCACCAGTCATCATCTCCCTACATTCTGATATAAGCAATCACTTTTCTCAAACTCTTCCAGGATGAAGAACTCTACAAACTAGTTTGGCTATCCAATAACAGAACAACCACTTGCTGGTGTTGAGACATAGGAGCAAAAGGAAGACAAATGAATTAGAAAAGACAAGAGAAATAAACAAAAAGAAAGATGATAACTGCCAATCTTTAAATGTAAAATCTAACTAGTATAGTACTGTGTCAGTCTTTACGCCTCACCTTCAATTTTTCATGTACTCATTAATTTATTTTCTGCATTCACTGCTAATCTTGTTAATGTAGCTAAACCTTAATTATATTAATTCATCAGATCACCTGAATATTAGCCCTCTCAGCTCATTTCACCTAAAGATTAACCACCTAATGATAACAGAACCAGGTAGCATTGTGGTATTTCATCATCAGGTGTATGAAGCTTTTAGCACAGAACCTCTTCATGCAAAATCACAATACTGTAGTTTACCAAAAATAAATACATGACTAACTTTCACAAAATTTTACTTCTATTTGTATTCACTTTTCAACCTCCATCGATATAATTCAGCCATTTTTCATTCTTTGAGATCACCTGGAGATTAATCATCCCAGTTTATTTCACCCAATGATTAAACATCCTAAAGTTAACTTAACCTAAACCCCACAGGTAGCATTAGGGTGTTTAATCACTGAATAAAATGAGATGTGGTGTCTAATGCTATGTGGTCCCATGATTCTGATAGCCTTCCTGGCATAACCTCATAACTATCTCTTTATACAGATACAGTACTGTACTGTACAACATCCTACTAAGTTCTCAGTACTATTGAATTTTTGTGTCCTTGTTTGTACTGTACTGTAAATCCTTCTGTAACTGTTAAGAATATTCCTATTTCTAAACTCCTTTATATTGTTGTACTCGCTGCAGTCTAAGACCCAAAGGTATGTGTACCTGACTTTCATAAATAAACATCTATCATCGTCATCACTGCTAAATCATTAAAAATATATTTAACATTCTAGATGAGATTACACAGCCACTACACTTTACTATTTACTTCAAACATCTCACTCACAGCACCACTTATAAATGCAACACTTCTCATTACTTCAGTGCACCTTCGAGTGTACTGTATTTCAATTCACTTATCCAAAGTCCCATTTATTCGTACAAAGCCACTACCTACCTCTGTAAATACAGCACTCCAAAATGCATTAAGAAGTCATACTGTATATAACCTCTCATTCTAAGTAACTCAGTGCAACTTCCAACTTCAACTAAAATGTTCCAAGGGATTCTTTCTCTGACAGCTATAAGATGACGAATAATCTACATGACAATGATTTAAACTACTCCTGTCATCCATATTAATTTGTATTTGATTTTCTAAAATCTAGTACAAGACACAAGGTGACCTACATGAGAAGGTAGACCAGAATGATGATCAGAACCATCTGCAGTTGAGAGTGTTGACTGTAACATATTGGAGAAGTTTACACTCAGGTCGTCCTCCATTACATCCTTCGCTTCCTCTGCTTCCATCTGATAAAAGTCAAACAAAAACACATAAGACTAAGTACTGTACAGTGAAACATAAAAGTATTATAGTGGTAACTAAATTAAAACAAAACTAACTTATTTAACTGAAGTATTATCCAAGCAAAAATAAAATTAATTCATAAAAATGAATTGTATAATATTTCAATACAATACCTTGGGTCCTCCAACCTCCTCTGTTTCTTGGAGGTAGAGATCCTCATCATAACTAGACGGTTCTGATTGTATGGGCACATCATATTTATCATGGTAACTAAGATCTTGCTCTATTTTGATGTGTGGCAGAGGTTCCACAGCTTCCATTGCTGCCTCATCACTCACAGCCTAGAGCAAAGGAAAAATCAAAGATGGTACAGTAATACAAAAGTTATACTAATATAACATACACAATACCTATTTACTAAATTATATTATAACAATAGAGAAGGGTTGCATCACTGGACTTCACCTATATTAACTATAAAGTTGAAAGGATGCACATCAATATTATTTTCTTAGTAAATGGAGAAGCTTTGAATGAACAGCTCAAGTGGTTTTTTTTTTAGGTACAGTCAGCCAAAGATGCACCGACCCCACCCTGGGTCTTGTGCTCGTAATTTTACCTGGCAACACTTGATGGAAGGAAGGCTGTATGTAATGGGGAATGTGATTGGTGGATTTATTTTTGGCTGTATCACTGTCAGGATTTATAGTATAATTCCATCACCACTAATACTAAAAGAACTACAGTAACACTATTAAATGTTAAAATTAAATTTGAAGCCATGACCAAGCATTTGGATACAACCTACTTTATGATATGGCTAACTTCTTAACACTACAGTACATCTTGAAGTCAATTACTGTGCACAGATGAAAAATTAATTCCCAAGTATTCTAATGCTCCTACCAATCCTACTCCTACCTCTTGCTTTCAGCTCTGACTGCTATTTTGTACAAGTGCCATTGTTCTAGGCCTTTTTTGGCAATTTAGTGTTACTGTATACATTCTCTTTGAGTGCGGTCTGTCATCTTTCTTTTAACATGTAATACTTATTGTTCATAAACAGATACTTGTCTTGTACTATCATTAATAAGAATTGTTAACTACAGTATATAAATAATTTTCTATGCTGCTTAACAAAATTTGGGAAAAATACAAAACTAAATAAATGTAAAGTAGGCTCACCACTTTCAAATGGTAGATTCCAAATGTGCCTATCATTCAAACGCATGCACTTCCTCACCACTTTCACGAGTATAATGCACTGCCGAAGGGAATTGCTGCTTGTAATGAAACTATAATTTTTTTTGAAAAATCAGTACAATACTCTAATATGGCTTAGAAATAAAGAAAATATAACATAAAACTATAAAATAGGAAAAATGAAGAACATGGGTGTGGATGTGTGTGTGCTCCCTCCCAATGTGATGTCATGGCATGCGCAGAGCAGCAGCCACGCATTTGCGAGTCAGCTGGGTTGAAGTGGGTCGTGTCAACCAGAGGATGGTTTGAGTGTTGAAGGAGCATTTTTTTTACATAAAATATGTGCTATTGTATTTTATGTATCGATTTTATTGTTTATCATAGCAATAAATATGATAGCTCATCCCCACTGTGCATGGTATTCATATTTACATTACTAGCTGATATTGGAGGAATTTTTATTTTTACAGTACGTACTGTACGTATTATTATTTCATTCTGGTGCCAGTTAGTTGAATCTACCAGTTGCCTAGATACCAGATAACTGGGATTCTACTGTATATCCAGTTTCAGGAACGGTTTAGGTGCTTTATTGAGGAAAAGTGGGGAATGGAAGTGATTTGGGCAGGTACCAATTGATCCTTTAACATGTAAACTATGCTCATAACTTTTGTGGTACTTTTCCCAGTAAGAGATACTCTCAAAAGTGGTGAACTTACTGTACTGTATTCTTGTATTTCCTAGTAAAGAAAATAATACTGGTACTTGTTACTTGAAACAGAATTCAATGAAATTTTAATCTAGCTTTACCTTAGATTTATCAAAGCTAACATAATAGCATTAACCCCCCCCCCACCCCCCGCCGCAAAAAAAGTTGTTTTGTTTAAACCAATGGCTTTTGCCAATCCTGAATTTAATGTTTATACAAATCAAAATTCTACTTACTCCCTCCTTCTCCTGATGATGGTCTGGGACATGGGGTTCAACATGGTCTGGGGCAGGGAGTGAAGCATCCTCTGTGGGTCTGTCTTCTATGGACTTTCCCTCACAAGATGCATCTGGTGTGGAGTCTATGGGTGCAGAGGTACTTGTTCTCCGGTCTTCGGCCCGTCGTCTCTTTGCCGGCGGACTATTACGGTCTATATGATGCTGCTCCACAGGACGTTGCCGAATGACGGGTTCAGAATTACCTACATCAGAGGCTAAGGACTTTGGATCTTCATCCGGCACAGCCAAGCCTTTGATTCTGAGACACTCTGCTGCCTTAATGAGTGATGAAAGTTCAGTTTGTCTTACATTGACCTCACCAATGTACATATAGTCCAGCAAGAACTCAAGATCTTGACACTGTATATCTTTTAAAACAATAACCGGATTTTTACACGGTGTGCGGTCAAAAATGTCACTAAAATATTCACTACACGTTGAGAGAACCAACTTATGGACGGGATAAAACTTGCCTTCACATGCCAGTGTTACATCAGTGTAGCTACCCTGGAAAAGCAAGGTTCACTGTCAATAAGAATCAGGTAACTGATCATTGTGTTAACTATTCCAGTCAATAAGCAGCCTAAAGGACTACATTAGCCAAGCTACTCCTAGTTATGAAGTCATTAAAATGGACTTAACATTTGCCAAAAGTACAGAAGCACACTATTTTTACAACAGCACAAAGATTTTAACAGAAACGATTTGAAATTTAACAGTGCACCAACATCTTCCTTCAGACATCAGTGACCACTGACATAATGCTAACCTGGCTTTACAAAATGACTAAATCTACACAATAATCAATGACATGCCACTGTAACATGTATTCATGATCAATAACTAAACTTCATGGAAAAAACAATTATGTACTTGTATATCTCTGTTTACTGAAATTAATCCAATAATTATTAAATAATAATGACCTCAACTGCACTCTGAAAATCCTAAGTAATAACAAAAACGGTGGGTTGAGGATAGGTTGCAAGTCTACCATTGATAAATAGGATCTATAAGGTGAAGGAAAAACCTTGAAAATTAAAACAAGGAAAGGGGTTAGGCTCTTACCTTAGTTCTAAGTCCACTGATAATATGATAGAAGATACTCTGGTGATTGTTCCACTTGAGAGCTAATACTTCGGCCTCCATGGTTACTGAAGTAGGGGAAAAAATTAAAATTACTAAAATAAATACATGTTGGTCGAGTCATATTAACACCATTGACCTACAATAAAGCCCAACCAATTTAAAATTTAAATAGTGGCCATCATCAGTGGATAATATGGAAGCTATCTTGACTTTCTCATACTGAATGTTGGTTTGTTTCACAGATAATTTTTTTTAGATACAGCTAGATTCTTAAATTATTGTTCATAAAGTGAAGAAACCAAACCTAGAATACTGTACTAGTTATTGAGTCACCTAAAGAATTACCCCCCCCCTGTTCACCTGATGACTCTCCATCCCAGCCCACTCTGCCTGAAGAATCTCCTCCACATAGCCTGCTAGACATGTCAATAAAGCTTAAGTAAAGGAAGCTATACTAGAAATCACTCAACAGTATTTAGGGTCAATTTGTAGTTTCGACCAACCACGGCTCTCAAGTTAAGCAATGTGTTTATCTGCTCGTTTAGACAATTTTGAGTCACTTTTCTTCTATGATTTTTCCCCCGTAAACCTAAAATTGCCTAACCTAACCTTTAAACAGGGGTAGATCCCTCAGTATATTTTAAGTAATTTGTAAGGAAAACATCATAGAGGAAAAGTGTCTTAAAATTGTTTAAATCATCACATAAACACATTGCTCACCTTGAGAGCCATGGTTGGTCGAAACTACAAATTGACCGTATTTAGTAATAATGTGGGTAAATTTTTAATTAAGGATATGAGTCCCTAGGGATTGACCAATATGTTTCTCCAGTGTATTTTGGTGTGTTTTAAACGAACCTGATCTTCATTTTTGGCGGAAATTGCTCGTTTTTGCCGCCCCCCCTCCCCTCACAATAATGGGGGAGAGCCTGGGAAATCAGAGTTTTTGGGTGGGGGAGAAAACGAGTCATCTGACCTAACAAAACCTACCCCTAGCCGGGGGCTCCGCTTCCGGACCCCCGGTAGGCTTAGCTTAAACCCACCTAAATGTTTCAGAAGTTAAAAACTTTGGGGCACACCATGTCCAAAAGTACAATACCTTAGTTAGAAGTGGAAGGACCAGGGATACGTAAGAATTGGATAGAATGGTCGTCTTTCTTGTAAAACTCAACAATAAACTTAAAATAATCGTAGGAGCATAAATGACAACCAACCTCCACCACAGCCATTGTGAGACTGATCAATGAAATTAAAATAGTAACCAGGCTGCTTCCTTTGAAAAAAATCAAATGTGATCGGTCGAAAAAAATTCATGTGATGATATCGATACATCATTGGTCACGCTATTATCCATTTCCACCTGGTATTTATGGGGGTTCAAAATCATTACTGACTACAGTATTATGGTACAGTATTTCATAAAAGTCAGCTTTTGACATTCCTCTAGAGAAAATGTATTACGGTACTGTTGATGAAATACATAGTCCTGGTAATACCTGTCTTCTGTAGCAAAAAATCATGTTATGGATTATTTAGCTGTACAACCTGAATAATACATCTTTGGTAGAAAAGGAGGCAACATATACACTTCACTTCCTCAACTGTAGGGTTTAGTATATCACTTCAAGGCTTGGTGGACCAGGGACACACAGTAACTACAGTAGGTGAGCGTTTGGCTGTCTGTAGTCACTCACATAGGGCAGAACCTAACCTCCCCTTATGTAGCCTAAGTTATTCTTGTGACATTTAAACCTGTCTGCACACTGTATCCTTCACTGTACCCCAAACAAACATTAATACAGATCCCAATACAATAAAGTACTAGAACTGATAGATAATATATATTTCCCAAAAATAAATTAACTCATACCTACTCTAACTCAAACACTCGCCTTTGTTCCAGTACAGTTGTTTTACATTTTATATCATGTTTTAGAGATATAAAGTAGAGTATAATACAACTACCAGCACCTGCAGCCCAAACTAACCTACCGCCATTATTCCTCCCTAACACATTAAATACCCTTCTAGACATTTCTTAACTACCAACATAACACAACTACGAGGAATATATATACTACAAGTCTCTCCTTCATAATAAAATAAACAATTGGTCACTTATTGTCCAACACAACAGCGGGATTCGCCATCATTGTTTAAAAACCTAATTTTCCTGTTGTAAGTCACTCACCCACACACACCCACACCTCCAACCGCGTATACTACCGTTAATATGTATGGTGGACATTACAATGATTAAAGCTCTAAACTAATGAGCTTATTTATAGACTTACAAGATAATTGAGAGAATACACTCGGGGTCAGTCGCCTTCATCACAACACCTAACACACCGCTGGGCTAAAACACAAAGCCAATGGTGAGATGCAATAATCAAAATATAATATGAATTGTCTTGTGTTTGTGATATATTATTAAACATATGATCAGAATTATTATTATAAATTACTTAAATACTTTGATAAAACATAAAGTATATAACCTACTGGTCTCTTATGATTCCCAGACATTCAAAGGTTAACTTATATTAAAGCTAGCGAGGTTAGTGGCTTTACCACCTGTACATGCATTCTCTAACTCATGATACAGTAGTGAGAGCTACAAGTATTACCACTGTACCACCAGCAGGTAAATTATTGCGTAATTATGACTTGAAGATGGACAATGCAATATTGTACTCAGACGTTTTTGTTCAGTTTAGTAAAATGTAGTTACTATTGACCTCAGGATATCTCCTAAATATGGCTTTAAAATGCCCATGATATTGGTCATATTTCCCAAACAAATTCTGGGGGAATGGGATTGCAGCGCCCCCCCCCCCTTCCTGGCTGGCCTCGCTATACTCGCCATGTTCCCCCACCCACAGAGGGCGGATCCAGGGGGTGGGAGGGAGACCAGACCCCCCTTTCATCAGAAAATACCAAAACTTTTTCTTTAATGTAGTATTGTATGCAGGCGTTTTCGTAAAGAAAAATGTAATTACTATTGACCTCTGAATATCTCCTAATATCGTGTACATGGCCTTAAAATGCCCAGCTGGTTGAGGTCGCTATGTTCTCTTACCCACAACTTCACGGATCCCCCATTTTGATATTCCTGGATCCGCCCATGCTAACACACTGTTGGCAAGTACTGAATCCAGAACGGGGTTAGCAGGGGCGGATCCAGACCCCCCCTTTTCATCAGAAAATTCCTAATCTTTTTCTATAATACAGTCTTGTACTTAGGCTTTCTTGTATAGTAAAATGTAATTACTATTGACCACAGAATAGCTCCTATGTGAACATGGCTTCAAATGGCCTCAAAATTTCCCCAGCTGGATGGGGCCACTGTGCTCACATGCTCCCTCGCCCACAAAGTTCTTCTTAGCCCCCCATTGATATTCCTGGATCTGCCCCTGATTAGCCCACCACTTTCTATGGTGTGTTTGCTGGTTACAGGCTGTGTAGATAAACACCCTTTTCATATGTATCCTGGGATTAAATCCTGGTTAATCTGGACAGACTGTAACCTGTAATCTTACCACGCACTCGCTGAAGTACTCCCTACAGATTTGTTCAGCTCAGCACTTACCAACTCTTCACCACAACCAGTGAATGCACTAACACTGTAAGGCTACCCCCCCCCCCCCACAAGAAGTGGGAGCATAAGTGAATTTTTGTTTTTATATAAAGCATACCTTTAAATACAGTACAGTATACAGTATTCCCTTAAAGCTTGTGTCCCAGAAACTCACGGATTGCCAAGGAAAATGAATAAAATAGATCTAAGGCTGTGTGCCAGGGATCAAGAGTAGTATGCACTACAGGGCAGTACAGAGTACCATATTTCCCAAGGCATAAGATGCACCCAATAATTAGGAAGGTATATTTGGGAGAAAAAAAATGCAGATGTAATAGCGTACCTGTACTGTACTAGCAATGCCAAATCACTGGCTATATGCTGTCATGTCTCTCACTACAGGTACCACAGTTCACTGTCACTTCATGGACCTACAGTATTGTCAAACATTTGTTGGTATTAATAAATTTACCTAATTTAATACAAAAGGATATAATTATACGTATAGGTACCTACAGTATACACTTTACAAACACCTATCGGTACTGGGCATGTTCACTAGGAACTGTCCAGTACAGGGATTGTTTACATCCTGTGCACCAGATCAGCTGATGTTTCAGAGGTATTGTCTTTGCATTGTTAATACCACACTAACTATCACTGCGTGGAACTAATGTCCATACAGTGTTATTTCATGTTTTTGTTATTTATGTCATTTCATATTTATTTTGTCTTAGCATACATAATGTTGTTATACATGTGCATGTAGCTAGTTATACATGTATTTTGCACACTCATGGGACTGACATGAAAAACCTGCAGGTTTTGCTTTCACACAGGGTCCATTTTACCTAACCCCAGTGAGCTTTAAGGGAATAGTGTACTCTCGATTTAACGGAATCCGATATAACACTCGATTTAGCGGAAGGAATTTTTTCAGTATTTTTCACTCGATTCGGAATCGACGTTAATTCGATTAATACGCTCACATCTACAGACACCTCAAACACATATGTACATAGAAACATTATTCACGGCTTACCTGAAACTAGGGGGTTCGGTGTTTGTTTTCAACTTTTTCTTTAATTTACAAACGTTTTTCCAATTGATGGCTGTCCTCTTTTGACTTTCTTCCCCACACCAATTCTTTTCTGAGACTTCTGGCATGATGTGTAATCACTGCAGTTACCGAGATGTAGACCAAGAGGTAGCAGTGAACAACACATACAGTGACGGCAATACAGACTGAGCGGATGTAAACAAACCCAACACGCCAAGTGGTGCATTTGGCGTGGAATTTAACGAAATCACGCTTGATTTTGCGAACTATTTTGCTAAATTTAGTGAAAATAACAATTCAATTTAGCGGAAATTTTGATTTAACGGAAAGGGGTGGCTCGAATTAGTTTGTTGAATCAAGAAAATACTGTACAAAGCTCCTTCAACTTTATAAGTCTCATGAACATTTCAGTCTGATTCTCTGTAAACAAGCATGGAAACCCTACCTCCAGGAAGACCTACCATCCCAAGAAAAGATGCACCACAGAGACCAAGATGAATCTGGAACTATGTCTTCTCTATTATCCAAGTAGATTGAGGGCCTTAGGACTAACAACTCTTTAGACAAGACACAACAAGGAAAAGTCCATAAAGACATTCAAAATCTTGAGAGGGAGCAAAAATGTTTACCAAGACAAGGGGACATACCGGTAACCTCAAGTTCATCAATATATCATGCAGGATCTAATTCTTCACACCAAAACCGTCGTCATGCACATCAATACCGCCACCATTCCAGTGCAAGCCCCAGCAGTCACAGTGGGTGCCCATCCTCTCCAGCTGGTGCAGTCTGCCAAACTCCTGGGTGTAACTATAGGCAACAAACTTGACTGGAAGGCCCATGTAAATAACAGTGTCAAGGAAGCCTCGTACCGTCTCTACATGCTACGACGACTTAGGTCACTTGGGACATCCACGCCAGAGCTGAGGACCATCTACAACGCCTTTATTCTCCCCAAACTAACGTGTGCGTCACCAGCCTGGTCGTCTTCTCTCAACTCCACCCAACGTCAGCTAGAGAAGGTACAGAAAAGGGCCTGCAGAATACTCCGGCTACACCACTGCTCTCTCCACCCTGGAAATGCCATCCCTCAGTGACCTCCACCACCAAGCACTGGAAAGGTTTGGCAGGCAATTAATGCACCACCCTTGTCATCGCCACCCCCCGCCCACCTCGCGCAGTCCGCCACTACAACAAAATTCAGCCCATAAGAGCCCGCACCGATAGATATAAGAATAGCACCATCCCATCTATTGTTAAAATAATAAGCATCTCCTGATTTATGTACTGTACAGCCCTGTAAATGTATTCAATGCATATTATATCATTATGTCTAAATCAAATGAAAGTATATTTTCAGCCACCGGTTGCAACTCTTAACCGTTTATTATTATTTTTATTATTTTATCAATGTAGTATTGTAGTGCCAATACTGTACTCGACAAACTAGATCCTGTAATTCGAAGTCAACAAGCTGTTGCTTACAGCTTGTTGACAAAAGATATCATAATAATCATAATAAACTAAGCTTTATACTTGGAACTGAAACTATAATATAAAAGCTAGTCCTCTTTCCTAAAAAGGTGTTCTTCTAATTACCAACCAGTTTGTTCCTGAAGCTTGCTTGTAAGGCCAACTTTACTCTTGTAGATACCAAACATATTGTAATAGTAAATGAAAAATTAAGGATGTACTGCACAGCTAAACCCCAATATTAAATATAGCACATAACTCTACAGAAATTTTTATTTATATATACTGTAGTCAATTGGAAATATGGGCAGGTTTGTTCCTAATCTATAAAAGTTTGCAAGTCGAATGTTCAGACGTAGAGGAGCACACCTGTACTATTATATTCATAATACCTGTACTACTCCTACAGTACCTATAATAACAAAGTGAGGTGTATCATTAAGAAATAAAAAATACACCAGATGTTATATTGAAAAATTATTATATTAAACAAGATGTTACTGTCACCGAGCATTATCATGGATACTTAGCCTTTATAAGACTGAACATACAGGTTGCACTTCAAAAATCTGATCATCAGTTACACAAAAACTTTGAAAACCCCAAAGATCTTTTTTAAATTGTAGTTACATCAATATACAGTATAACTGTACTGTAAAATATAAGGGGCTTTTATAATGACCATCAGTTAGCTGAAAATATCAGTTATCCAAAGTGGCTCCTTTTTGAAGTGTAACCTATATTAAAATTTGTTTTCCAAAGATGACATTATACTAATTTTTTTTAAAGTCAATAAAACATTTTTTAATTAATTTTTTACTTCTTTCAATCTTAAGTTCAAGTTCCTTTTACAACATCAACTAAGATTGAGAAGCTGTACATGTATTACAAGGCATAAATACCATTTTAAAAACCTCATAAAAAAATATACATCTCAATAAATATGTACTGTACTGCATGTCAAAAGTCTCCATGCATAGGCAAAATGATCACTTTATTACACAATCACTTGTAAGTCACAAAATATGCTTTATGTGGCCATCATTAAATTTCAGCAAGATAGGACGCCACCCCATTACAGTATCCGCGTGCGCCAGTGGCTGGATCAGCAGTTTCCGGCTCATTGGATTGGCCGCCGTGGTCCCGTGGAGTGGCCACCGAGGTCTTCAGACCTCACCCCCCTTGTGGGGGCACTTGAAGGCCACGGTGTACCAGGTGAAGATACCAAACACGGACCACCTAAAGGAACGCATTCGTGATGCGTGTGCGCGCATAACAACGGGCGTTCACCATGAGTGGGAGGAACGCTTCCGTATGTGCATTCAGAGTAATGGTGCTCACCTAGAGCATATTTTGTGACTTACAAGTGATTGTATAATAAAGTGATCATTTTGCCTTTGCATGGAGACTTTTGATTCACCATATATATATATATATATATATATATATATATATATATATATATATATATATATATATATATATATATATATATATATATATATATATATATATATATATATATATATATATATATATATATATATATATATATATATATATATATATATATATATACATATATATATATATACATATATATATATATATATATATATATATACATATACATATACATATATATATATATACATATATATATATATATATATACATATATATATATATATATACATATATATATATACATATATATATATATATATACATATACACATATATATATATATATACATATATATATATATACATATATATATATATATATATATATATATATATATATATATATATATATATATATATATATATATATATATATATATATATATATATATATATATATATACACACATACAGTATGATCAAAAATATTCCTCTACATAGATGACCTACCAACACCAGCAACATCTACAATATGTTCCAGGGCTCCAAATAGTAATTCAACTTATTTGCAAGTATTTTATGCAAGTGACTTGTCTTTACCTGAATAATCTTGAGTTACTTTAATTCCAAAAAAACTCGATCACTCCAACTCAACATTAAAGTACTGAAGGATTACCACGTTCTTAAAAGTTAATTACTAATTAGTGACCAAGATTTAATTAATATTGAAAGTTTCAAAGTAATGTTGATGAATATGTGCATGTCCAAACACCACACAAAAAGAGTGATGGAAAATATAATAAAATGAAACTAATCAATACAATGCCTTCATACAGAGATGAGTATTTGTGCTTCACAATCATAATTATTACTGAAATCTCATAAAAGTGACAATGCTTGCTCAAGAGAACACAATTGAGATATTGGATTGACAAGAAAACCTTTATTCAAAGGTAGTCTACATCTGAAATATATTCTTGCACTAGAAATTTGATTAACTAAAACAACATAATCTCTCGAGAAGCAAGATATCCGCAACCAGTTCTTGAATAATTTATAGAACTTATATATATACTGTACTGTATATACGAGGCACTGCCTAAGCAAGGCCATAAGTGCCAAATGTGCAAATTTGAGAAAAGGGTTTTCCATTTGTATTTTCAATTCTCTGTCAATTGGTGTACATTTACTGTACTCATAACTTACACCATAGTACATGTGGGGGCCACTTGTAGTGATGTTTTGAGAAGAATGGAGAAGGCATCTTAATGATAAGTGATAATTTTTGGAAACCAGGTAACTACAATCTGCAGAAAGCCTCTCTCCACAAGGCTGACCACCTGCAACTCTTCTATGCCAGGGGTCACACACGTGTAATCTTTAATTGCCGATATTTTAAAATATCAGATTGGCACTTACGCCCCTGCTTTAGGTCACGCATCATAATATATATATATATATATATATATATATATATATATATATATATATATATATATATATATATATATATATTTGCCTCTCTTACATAATGGTTTTATAGTAACTTCACTTTATATCTAGTAGATCCGGAGTGCATTAATAATATTTTCAAGGGCAGTTCGGGCATCTGAGGGTTCAAACACCTCTTGTAGAACATTGAGAGCTGCCTGAGCATGTGATTGACAGAGGTCCTTGGCTTCTTCAACACCTGTCCCTGCCATTATCATGTTATGAATCTGTGAAGAAAAACAACTAACTAAGAAAAATACATTATTCAGTTCTATTTTATAAAAGCCATCATTTCATAATATCTATGTTGGGGAAACCAGTAATTATCTCATGACCAATATAAGACCAGATTTTCCTTTTTTTTTTTTATTTTACAAAAAAAATTGTAAACCAGTTTTGAGATAAGGGGCTTCTCTCATACTTCAATAATATTATCATTATTAATGTTTCTTCTCTTTCTATTATGAATGGTAATCCATATCTCAATGACCAACTAAAAACAGCTTAAAGTTCTGAGCAAAAATTTTCTAGGATAGAACCATTGAGAGAAAAAATAAAGATTGCAAACAAATAAACTGTTGATGGAAAGAACCTTTTTGAAATCACAGTTTTCCATCGAGTCTCCAGCAGCTGCAACAAGATCCAATATAGAGAGGTCATGTTGCAAGTGCAAGATGACAGGAGCCGAGGTCAGGTCAATGGCTGTCCCCGGGGGATGACGGTACAGGTCAGTAAAGGGTTGTAGGTCACTGTAGGCCTGTAGTGAGCATATAAAATTTAAGTTTAACATCCCTTTTCTACAGGTAAGGCAATCACAATATTTTATTTACATTATATAACCTAACCAACCATTAAACCGGCATGCTTGGGACCTGGGGGTTACCGGATAGGGTTTTTTTCGAGAATTTGGAGTGCCAGGCCTATAATATACAGTAAAAGCTCTGGCTGTCTCTCACACACACACACACACACAAGCAAGCAAGACGAAGAGAACAATCAGTATTCAAGATTGTAATAAACTCTAAGGTAGAATATCATATATATAAGAAAGTTTATCAACACTCAACCAAATAAGTTATACAACAACCCACCTGCCATGCAAGGGCGATCTCTTTCCCAAATTCAAAACCCTTCCGTTGCATTTCGTCGGTATGACCAGCTAGCACCAAAGTTGCTTGACATGACTTGGCCATCAAGCTACCTACACATATCAAACAAAAGAAAGATAAATTATAGCTAAATGTAATATTAATCTCCTCCAATTATATTACATATACAATATTATAAATATTTCAATTAGTGGCTTTCACACAACAGCACTCTTAGCTTTGTCTACTGATCATTCACAAGCTCCAAACTATTCTTTTAAGATTACTGTACTTCTCTTTACCATTTCATGCTTTATGAATTCTCCCTTTTCCTTTGTATATAACTACTGAACCAAATATATTTTTGTCCATACAGCCCTACTTCTTACTGCTGATGTCACTACTCACTCTAAATATCCTCCAGCATGAGTCATTCTCTTACATGAATCCTCCTCCTTCAGGAGTCTATCCTCCTACACAAAAGAATGATTAACCTGTTCACTGCACAAATCGATTGTAGTCGATTCTAAAATCATTGTGGTACACCACAAAACTTGACTAATGATTTATTCATAACTTACTGATTTTTCCATTCCTCCTAGTTAACTTTCTTTGCTCGTTAAAAATGATTTTCAATGTACAGTACATCTCCATTCAAGGAATTAAAATTTACCCATCTTGTCACAAAATACAATACATTAAGTTGTACCTGCAGCTAAAAAGTTCTTCTCCTCCCAGTCCCTCATGGTGATAGTGACATCAGGAACTGGGTTACCCTGATTATCCCGTTCTCCAATAAATTCAGCTTCCATGAAGTCACTGATGGCTGTACTGATGAGTTCCACAACCTACACACAAAAAAGAAAACCATTAATTCTAATACTGTATACTGTACAGTACATAGAACCAGACTTGTGTCAACAAAATACAACAGTACACCTCTTCTAGCAATATTAAATATTCAAAATCAACAAAAGTTTACGAGGAATCTGTTTGTCTACAAGTTTCATTGTAGAGAAATATCAACTTATCTAAATTTAGAGGGAATAAACTTTTAATGAATGTCAAGATGTCCCAGTAAATTTGAGAACATTTTCCTAAATCAAAACCCACATACCTTATTTCATCATATCAAAAAATGTTCACAATATATACCCTTTCTCCTCCACCCATATAGTGTACTTCATCCTCGTTCACTTCAGTCCTAAAACTTTATTTGAAACACTCAATTTCGGCTGTCTATTTTTTAACATAAATGCCGACACTTGTTCACAACACTCCGAAACTGATATAATTCATCATTTCACCACTCCTCACTATTGAAGTATTGTATTCAGTGTGATCGGGGTCAGCCAGATTCCAGTCAAAAGCACTAACACGATAATGTTGTTAACATCACTGAAATTTTGGGAGAGACATTACACTAACTTGTGGATTTACTTTATTAGAAGACTTCAGATAATTACCAGTAAGTCAAAATTTTTAGGCAAAAAACAAAGAAGCTAATTCTGTAAAAAAAACATTATACCTTTTAAAAAGATGTGTTACATTATGATTATGTTCATAGGCATATTTGGCGTATTCAATGCAGCATTCCTAAACCCATTGTCTCAGGCTAGCATACACTGTGCTGTATGTGTCACTCCCTGAAAAGCATTATATAGGTCATAAAGCCTATCAGATAATCCAAGGTTGTACATACTGGCTCCTAGACAAATTTATTATACTGTATACTCCTGCATAAACACCAAGTGTACAGAAATAATTTTAAATAAGATACGTACATGTCTTGTATACAGAAACACATACTGTACAACATTAAAAATTTTGCATTTTATGAGATACAGTATAGGATGCCAGTGACTCACCATAGTGTTTCTGAGAGTAGCCAGGCCAGTACAGGCATTGGCTAAGAGGTAATCACCAGATAGGATAGCAATCTTGTTCCCAAACTCCATATCCTGCAGTGTAGTGCCATCAAACACCGTTGGCGAGAGGTTGACGACTCCCTTATGGATCAAGTGAGCTGTGTGAATCATTTCTGTGATCTCCGCTAAACTCCGCTGACTGCAATAATTGCGTGAACATAAGCTTAAATAGTATTAATAACTTGCCAAAATATACAGCAAGTGAGTTATTAGAGTTAAAACCGAGTGATACTTTTATTACAAAAACTTATGACAAAAATAACTTTGACCAAATGGCCTCACTTAGTGCACTGAGAAGTATCCATACTGAGATTTTAGACCACCTGAAAATCAAAGTACTGTACTCTGTATATTATCATAAACACAATTGACTCTTGATATTCAGTTTCTGGATTCATAAATTTTGCATATTTGTGAATTAATAAATGTATACCTGTACCAATTCACAATGCCCAACCTTCAGTATTCATGAATGCTCAAGTGTTGCACAATCTATGCACCTTGGGGCAAACAGTTCACTTAAAACTTAAAAAAAAAATATTGCAATTCACCACATTTTTTTATAACAATACAGTACTGTACATTGAGGTTAAAGCCACATTCACTTCCTCTTTCAAGTTTACTTGAAAATCAGAGAATGTTCAATTTCTACATTATTCATTATCCTATATGTACAGTACTGAAGTTTTTACTATCAACTTAATCTCTGTGCCGTGATTAGTACAGTACTGTATGTTGAATTTCATATTTTGATGTAAAAATAATCAATAAATATTAAAGAACCAACACTTAAAATACTGTACCGGAACTTAAGTTTACTACCCTGCACATATCAAACAAAACAAAGATAAACTTTAGCTAAATGTAATATTAATCTAATCCAATTATGCACAGTACATATTTTTAAACTGACCCAATTGAGACACCTGCTGGTTGATCTTGCTCAAGTTCCTCTGGGTTGAGGTGTCCAGCAGCCTTGGAGATGAGTAAAACAATAAGCCCACGTGTCTGCATGTTGTTGCGCCCATTGTAGATCAGACGCCTGAAGAGAAGGAAGCACTCTTTAGAGAATAATAGGATTTTTTTAGTTACAACATTAGAAGAAATAATACACGTGCGGGTAAGAAATGAGGAATCTGTTGAACATATAGTATATTGACACACGGGGGTCTAACACAAGAAGATTGTTCTGGTCTGGTGCAATGGGTAGAACATGAATACAACACAGTAAAGTAAATAGAATGGACAATTTCAAGGGGGTGAGTGAAAGACCAAACAGGAGAGATATATATAAGCAAGCAAGGTAAATGGGTATGTACAGTCAACAACAAAAAACTCTATGAAGACCAATCACACCTTGACAGTTACAAATATGATTATAACCCCCCTAAAAATGTAAACGCCAAATTCACAAGTTTTTTAGTAGCTACAGGTACATTACTATGTACAGTATGCTTGACTTGAGTTGGTGATGCTGGGTGTAAGCAAAGTGTCCATTAGAAAATATAAAGTACCAGAGACTTATCTCCTGAGCCCTCACTTCGCAGTCTTCAGCAGTGGATGGGAAGAACCAACCAGTTTTCTCATGTGAACAGCAATATTGGACATCTCATCAGACAAAAGGGAACGCAAGGTCAAGTAGGAAGTCGGATAGCCAACAATCTTCTCTGCATCACTAACAGCTCGGTTCCAGTCAGGCCTTTGTTGTGGTACAGTGCTGTAAGTCTTTTGATCAAGTCTGAAAATTAAATATATAATAAAAAAGCAGTCAACTATAACTACAGTGCTGTATTTAGGCTTCCAACACCAGTAATAACCTGCTACAGTTTTTTTTTTACCGGGGATTAGCCGCAATGAAGTCAAATGATGGTCGTACAAGCGTAATTCGGGCTGTGAATCACTTCTCGATTATTATTTGGTGTCAGAAAGTCACAAAATATTGGAAAACTTACTTTAATCCGAGTTAATAGATCGAGTGCTTGTACCTAACCTAACCTCGACTAGTATTTGGTGTCACGAAGTCACAAAAAATTGGTAAACTTAATTTAATCTGAGTTAATAGATCAAGTGCATGTACCTAACCTAACCTAACCTAATCTAATCTAATCTAACCTAACCTAACCAAACCTAACCTAACAACACAACTCAGATTAAATTAAGTTTACCAATTTTTTTTTGACTTTATGACACCAAATAATAATCGAGAAGTGATTCACAGCCCGAATTGCGCTTGTACGACCATCATTTGACTTCATTGCGGCTACATTTGGGAAATTAGTCGGACCGTTAGTCGGACCGCTTCGTGAGACCCATAATATTATATAACCAAATCCCTAATACTGTACAGGGTCACCGCTTTATTTTTTTGCTTGAGAACTGATACTTCTTGATTTCATTTTCTCTGATAGGTTTGCTGGTATTATTATCGTTTCGGTCATCCAACGAATTTTACATTTTAAGTTACGATTGTTACCGGTTAGTTTAGGTTGTGTTGATTTTTTTTAACTTCCAAATGCAGTAGGTGGATGACCGAAATGATCATCTTACCGGTTTGCTAATGAGAATAAATATCCAGTGATGAAGCAATGGAAAATAAGGCAAACACATCCTTAAAACATATATACTGGTGTTACTTAATTTATGTTTGTTTATTCCATGTTGTTGATTTTCGGATTTCAGTGACACGAGCATAATAAACTACACAAGTTAGCACTCTAACACTAGGGACTAACTGGCCAACTACACAATGTGGAAGTGTGTGCGAGTGACCCACCTGAAGGAGGTGTGTGTTGGAGGAGGAACACCATCTGCCGTAGGTAACTGTGATGCCGCCGCCCACCTGCTGAACCCACGCCCGCAGCCCACCACCCTTCGCACCAGCTGCCCACATGTTTTCACCTGACGTACACTCATGCTTAACTTTGTCAACCGTCACTGAAACACCTGGGTCATAATCTAATATATGTTATACTATATATATATATATGAAAAAACGATGTCCAGAAGTCGTGACACACACACCAGCGTCTGACTACACTGAGCTGCCTAACTAACACAGCCGAAAGGTTTTCTTCCCAGACAGGTGTTTGGTTCCTCGACCCGACCACACGAGTTGCTACTTATTATTATTCTATCTAACTTTTTCATTTCACCTAGATCATCTCTGTTAATAAAGTCGTATTCAGGGTACTATTAATAAGTAGGTAGTTTACTTTAAAGTAAAAAAATTGGATTCTAAGTTCTATAAACAACGTAAGCTAGGCCCATGAACAGTACCTGGCAACTACTACAAAATAATAGTTGTCCGATACTTTTACCGTAATTTCCTCAAGATATAGCAAAAAGGAATATTGATGTAGTAAATGGCTTATAAACTAAATCCTAAAAGTACTCTAACGTATCATGAGTTATTAATAAGTGATGTGAAGAGCCTCGTATGTGGGTTAGGTAAACATTATCACAAAAACCAGTCAAGACGAGCAGGTAAATATAAGATGAATTTATAACTTTCCCTGGGAATTCCACTCCTCAGGACCTCGAGACTCAAAGGTTCGTACGTGAATTGATTTCCCCATAGTCAAGTTTGTAAGGAAATGTCTTAGTCAGGTAAAGCTTTGTAAATATTGCGCTATGGTGCAACAATCTTTGCCCTGTCAGACTGTCAGTGCAGTATTGTTAGGTCTGAAATCTTTAGTAACGTGAAAATATTATCGTGTGAACTTTAAGAACCGAGGCCCAGCTGGATTTATATCCTGGAATGTACCGGGACATAGTTGTATTGCCGAGGCATTTCCTTTACTTCCAGCCTACAATCTGCCACGAGTGTACTGCAAGGAGAAAGCAATAACATGTGCAACCGTGTATATATATATATATATATATATATATATATATATATATATATATATATATATATATATATATATATATATATATATATACCGATAGATCGCTCCTCTCCACCTCCAACCCCCCTTTCAAAGTAGTATCTAAATGATTTACAATTCATCGTTTCACACTACTACTTTGTATAACGCCCATTCCCGAACCCCCAAGAAATTAGCCAGTGACTGTATTAGGGGGGATGAACACACATTCATTCCCCCCCCCTCCCAAAAAAAAATCCTTGTAGCCTGAACTTGCCTAGCTTATACTACAGACGGGCAAGGGGCGACCTAATTTGGGTGTATAAGCATTTCAAGGGGCACTACAAAGGAATATTACTTGGGCATACTCTGTTGAGTGTCCTTACTCGGAGCTGGCGGACGCTCGCCCCACAAGGGGTCACAGCTCAAGGTTGAAGAAGCCCTAAGTCCAGAAAACTGAGGGCAAACTTTTTCAGAGAGAGAGAGTTGTGAACTCTTGGAGCAATTTGTCAGAGTGTTATGACGGCACCGAGTGTGAGCTCTTTTAAGACCAGACTTGACCAGCACTGGAACACTCAGGAGCCGGTGCATGCGCAGTGGCGAAGAGGATAAAAGTAAAAAGTAAAAGTAATATTTGCCAACAGTGCGTAACAGAGATGTGACCGATCGCCCAAGCGGCTAACGAGCCGATCAGTGGTGAAGATGGTAAAAGTAATACTTTAGTTAGTCAGGGAGAAAATAAAATTTAAGGGGCAGTAGGGGAAAATGTATTAACAATTTCAAGATAACAGACTTTAACGGGTTCTTGAGATTTCAGAGTTTGTTTAAGAGTGCAATAAGATGCAAGACAATTTGAAGTGTTCCCAGCATCCATACAGTAGTTCTGGGACCTAATTCTCAGATTCATGTTTTTATATTCTGTAGTATTTTCCCCAAATTTGAGATGGAATGTACGTATCTGGGTACTGTATAGTAATCTCGTTACAATGAGAAAATTGTTCGCATGAACATTTGTGTTTTCGGGTAACACATGGGACCACCTGTTGATTGTTAGTGCAGCCCCGGAAACATGCTTAATTAGCCACGTGTTACAACACCACGCCACCTGTCACACAGTCTGCATCTCCACCTTCTCTCTCTTTCGGTTTCTCTCATTCAGGGCCGGATTCAGGAGTGGGCAAAGTGGGCAGCTGCCCAGAGGCCTAAACATATTACAATATTTTATTTATTTGTTAATTCATTTGGATTATTTTTATTTTCATTCTTTAAAATTCATGTTTATTTTTAACATGTGCGGTAGTAGCTATATCAGGGCTGGTCGACTTGAAACCACATGAATGACTCCAGTCATGTCTCACTTTTGTGTGTGGGTGTTGGGAATTTGTACACTATCAATAAATATGCAGTTAATTAAAAATTTCGCAATGTTCTAATTTCCTCAATATAACTGCATATGGCTTCAAAATTCTCCAAAGAAGTGTTCAAATTTCAAAATTTTCCCGGGGGGGCTTACAGCGCTCCCCCTGAACTCCCAGAAGTTTAGGCATGCTTCACACGCCACGCCACCCCACCCTCTTGGGTAGTTATAATGAGGGGGGCCTCCATAAACAGGCTGCTCATAAGCCTCCACAGGTCTAAATCCGGCACTGCTCTCATTCTTAATTTTCTTTCTTTAGTTTGGGTGTCACATCATTTATCTTTCAGTCTCTCTCCCTCTACTGTGGATACCTAACGTACATTTAAGAGAAGGAAGTTCGACCGTGACGGGAGTGTGACAAGTACCGTTTCGTCAAGGCTGTTCCCCATGACGATGTTCCAACCCTCCTTCCTACCTGCCCTGTAATAAAATGTGGTAATTGTCACATATGGGGCTTATGGAAGCCAGGAGTTTTTGGGCTGAGGTCTACTGTTATATGTGTGGGGATGATTACTATGTGTAGGGACTATTACTATGTACAGGTTCTATTGTTTTATGTGTGAGGACCATTACTGTGTGGGATTTATTGTTATGTTAAGGGACTTTTGCTATATGTGTGTGGTAATTATTAATTTATGTATGGGGACTATTGCTATGTGTGTGGGGACTATTGCTGTGTGTGTGGGGACTATTGCTGTGTGGAAACTATTGCTATATGTATGTAGACACTATTGCTGTGTGTGTGTGGGGACTATTGCTGTGTGTGTGTGGGGACTATTGCTGTGTGTGTGTGGGGACTATTGCTATATGTGTGGAGACTATTGCTGTGTGTGGAAACTATTGCTATATGTATGTAGACACTATTGCTGTGTGTGTGTTAACTATCGCTGTGTGTGCGGGGACTATTGCTATATGTGTGGGGAGTATTGCTATACATGTGGAGACTACTGTTGTGTGTGTGGGGACTACTAATTATGCCTGGAAGCCGCATTAGGTGTACAAAGGACTAATTGTCAACTCAGTCACTATATTGCCTATAGTACTGTATTTTTTTTTTTACCATAGCTAAGCCATATACGTCAACACCATCAGTCATATTACAATTACCAACAACTTGACAGCCACCTAAGTCAGTTTACAATGAGTTAACAGTTGCCATAATCACACTACCACAACTACTAGTCATAATTACTACCAGTTACCATAATCACATCTACCACAACTACTAGCCATAATCACATCTACCACAACTACTAGCCATAATCACATCTACCACAACTACTAGCCATAATCACATCTACCACAACTTCTAGCCATAATCACATCTACTAGCCATAATCACATCTACCACAACTACTAGCCATAATCACATCTACCACAACTACTAGCCATAATCACATCTACCACAACTACTAGCCATAATCACATCTACCACAACTACTAGCCATAATCACATCTACCACAACTACTAGCCATAATCACATCTACTACCAGCTGCCATAACCATATCTGCCACATTCAAAACCAGCTGACATATGACCAACTAAAGTCTTCACCACTGCCACCATCAGGCAGTGTTCTCTTCCAATCTTACTATACCCATAAAAAAAAATAAAAAATACTCACACACACACATTCTTTCATACCATTGTTCTTTCACTATCAGCCATGTCATTTTAATAACCACAAGAAAACCAGACCTCAAGAATGTTTATACAAAATTCTCAACACCATTCATTATCATCTTGCACATGTCTTTTATACCTGTATCAAGATCACCATCCTTAAAAACTTCCACCATTTCCACTCATGTATGTTTCTCATTCCATTCTCCCATTTGTATCACCTGGTGAATGTTCTGGGGGTGGCCATGACATTCCACTCCTACACCTTATTGTAGAGGTTATCATACTTGAGATAGGGGCCCCATCTCCCCAATTTTATTCCCATTTTTTTATCACAGGTAATACAGGACAAGATTTAATTTTTTTTTATATATATATATCAGGAAACATATATTTAAATAAAACATAAATTACCTGTTTATTTTCCTATTTGCAACAAAATAGTCTAAAAAATCTCAATGATGTACAATATAAGCACATACTCTCAGATGCTTCTTGGTATGTTTATTTGGTGTTTCACTTGCTACTATCACAAAAACATATATAGAGTTCTTTAATTAATTCAATCAGCAAATATAATTCTTTTAATACAAAGGAGTACAGGTATGCCGTATACATCAGCATTCGGCAAAAATAATCAACCTTGTTCTGTAATCTTTACTTGCTGCTCAACCGCTTGCTCAGATCCATGATTCAGCACAATGTTCAATAACCTCACAACCTATACTGGCCTTCATTATACACCCTCAAATGACTACATATACACATTACTCCTATTTCATTTAAACAATTTAAAGATTAGAATAATATGCCAAATTGGCCTCGATTAATACAGGTTAAAATTCCACCTCAATGTTACCTTAAACTTCCACCATTCATCCTCACAGTCAATTGAAAAGAAAAACACTTCAGATTCTAAAAATTTTACCATTAATTAATTTCTCCATGCACGACCATGTCACTTGCTTTTTAACGTCTCCTCCCTGAAGATGTACCAGTACACCCTTCCCAGTAATGAAAATGAAGTTTGGCTCAGTGCTAAGACTTAACATGATAAAGGCAATGGGTCTGGACATACCATCACAAATAAGTCAATATCTGATACCAGGCCACTCTACTCAGTTCACCAGTGGTATTAAAACATTATCTATTAACCGAAATTAGGGGAAGGCAAATAAACAGGTGAAGAGACAGAAAACAAACATGAAATAATACAGTAATCATTCATGGTGACACACAAGTAGGCAATTATCCTCATACTGAAAACATTGTGAATATAGAAAAAAAAAAAAAAACTGGAAAATACAGTTGAAGATTGGTGAATAAATGATCACTCTGATTCATTACCTGGTGAAGGAATCTCAATAGTAGGTCTGGCTCTGTAACACAACATACACTCTTGGAAATTAAATCCTAATGAAAATTTTTCTGTACAGTCGTACAAGATGTTGAAGAATATTGCTTATTTCTAAACTAGAGAAAATCATACAAGACACATTACATGTGATTAATAAAATATAGTGGTGTGTTTTTTACATGGATATACAATACATATTAAGACTCCTCATACTAGGTTTTAGATCTTCTATACACAAGTCAAGGCATGTACAAACCAGTACATTACTCTCAAATCAACATCTTTTCATAGCAAATAAATGATGAAATAAAAAAATTATTCTGACATTATATACATTATAATGTGTAGTGGCTGTTTAATTTAACTGACAGCCACACTAACATGCAAAGTCCCTCAGTAAGTGTTAGGAAGTTTGATGTATCAAGTCTTGAAGGAATCAAGGCCCAACAATAGATAGTTATCATGCTTAAAAAAGGTTTTGAATCTAAATTCTCATTTAATTACTATGTAATGAGATACTTCCAGTAGGGTTAAGTTTGGGTTATCTATAATAACGTCAAGTGATCTTCATTTGCAATATTGAAGATACTGATAGCAAAATTACTGAACAAGCAATGAGTATATTGTAGAAATAAAAGGTAACAAATAATCTTTCCATAACAATAACATACCTGTACATGTAATTATTAAATGCACAGTTAGTATATATTTAGAGTTGTTTGATCATACTGTCCTATTTATATCAGCCTCTACACATTACAAAAATAAGATCTATTCAAAATACAATACATGCATAAACAGTTCTATCCCAATGATGACTCCACCTAAACTAGATCAGAATGGACTTGCCCTTTATATATGATACCAGATACCAACAAACCAAAATATAAGAGAAGTTAATACCCCTGTATACAAAAGCATTGGGATGGCTGACTTAATACAATATTCTTCAAGTCCCTACCAATTGAAGCATTAAAATAATGTTATCATTCAGTGTTCTTACCTGGCTATAGGTACAGTATTCCAAAATATTCCTGCATCAATTTAATATATCAAATAGTGTTTATACATACTGTACAAGCTATAAATTCTGAGCTGGCATGTTTTACACTTGAACTTTTAATGCCACTAGCTGGGTATAGATTTGGCACTGTTCTGCATGTTAGGTAAGCCATGACAGACTGGTACTGAGGGAGGTAGGGGTAGACCTAGTCTCTTTCCATTTACACTGGACCCTCGCTTTATCCGCATTCAATATATGCAAATTCTCATTTATGCGGCGACCCTATTTCTACCTATAATTCATTTTATGCGGAAAATATTCCCTTGTATGCGTTCTGTAGAAGATATGGCGCACTAGTTTTATACCAGTATTAGCTTTATTTCTAAGCCACATTAGAGTATTTTAATGATTTTTATACAACTTTCTATTGCATTAATGCTCCAGAAATGATTGTGAAACATGGCACAGTGTGTGTGTGTGTATACTGTGCAGTATGTGATGTTAAGGGATGTGGCTGGAGTGGTGAGTCAGCCACTCCACACAAACACCTATGCTCTTCATATGTCTTAGTTTATAGTTTTATATTATATTATCTTTATTACTAACCCACATCACAGTATTGTAATGATTCTTCCACACCTTTTAAGGCATTACTGTTGACTTTTAGTAGCTGTGGAAAATATTCTAATTTTCCCCATTAGATTAAGTATTCACTATACTGTATGCGGATTCCCATTATGCTGTGTTGTCACAGAACGCAACCACAGCATAAAGTGAGGGTCAGGTGTATATTAAAAGACAGCATGTTCAAGCTATACAACAAACAAAAAGCTTCGAACAAGCTAATAAAAATAAGTTTGCATTTACAATACTGTATTGCATTTATATTACACTACCGGTATGCAAACATGATACATAATTCTTAGGAAATTGGCATCAAAAGAAGAAAATCTCTTGTATCAAAAATATTTCCAGAAGTTATGTTTAACAAACCCTGATGCTCTTAATTAGTTTTATATTTAGGAGCTCATTATTTTAACACAGTATACCATAAGTTACACATTATTTATAACCCAAAGAAACTGTGCTCCTTTATTTTACCAAGAAAATTTAACAAGAAAAATTTCAGCTGTTGCTTTATTTGCTTTGATGCCAAATTTGCTTGGAATATACAGCACAATTTGAATAAGTACTTTCATCTTAAGAGTAGCAGTTTCAATAACAATGACCTGTTGAAGCTCAGAAGAAAATACACGTAGATGCTAGTGTGTTTTATTATAAGCTGGTTCTCTGATGTGGGTCTTTTTAGACTGGTAACATATACTGGACAACTACTGAGTCCAAGGTTGGAAGCCTTGTTGTTGACTGGGAAACCTGCATGAAAAAATAAATACCACAAGGTAACAACAGTAGTTTTAGTATTCTGTCACTCAAACTTTACAAATTTTTGATGCCACATATAAAGTGTGAAAAAATAATCCTTCATTTGACAAGTTTAAATTTCAACTGCTAAAATGTCATATGTAGCTTTATAATAACACCCAATAACTTGATATTCTTAAGATCTGAAACAACAAAAAGTAGTTCTGTATACTTTGCACTGTAAATAATCTCCATACACAATGAAAAGAAAATTAAAAGGCAACTGAGTTTACAATTCTCCAATACATATACGGTAATTTTCAAACAATGTCACAAGTAAAACCCCTTCTAGCTGGAAGTGGAATCAGATTGATACACACACTTTAAATTTACAAACCTGATAGGAGGTCGTGGTCCAGCTGGTGGTCCTGGCTGTGTGGGTTGTGAGGGTATGGTTGGAGGAGGCCCAGAACTGCGGGGACCAGACTGAGTGGAGTAATTGGCAGGGTATTGCTGAGCTGAGGAATACTGCTGACTGAAGCTGCCTGGCTGATTACTGGGCACTGCATACCTGTAATATTAAAACACACTCACTGAATTATAACTATGCATCATTCACTCCTGGTCTGATTACAGTTATTCAATTCTTCATTACCAAAACAAACAAATTAAACTATAAATAAATCATGCTACAGTCAAATGTTTTAATGGATGGCTTTAGTTATTTACCTACCTGTCACTTTCTCAACACTACAAAGTATGCCATTTTTCTCACCTGTTCTGGTTGATGTCTATCTATAGCAGGGGTGGGCAAAGTGCGGCCCACGGGCCACATTTGGCCCGCCAAATTATTTCTGTGGCCCGCCACTGCATTTGGCAATCAGAAAAAAATTCTTATTTATTACAGAAAAGACAATTTTGGAAGTTGGGTGGACATAGCAGCAATACTGGCTCGTCGCTGTTAACCTGTGGCCCGCGAAGTGTGCCACCATTCATGAAGTGGCCCTCCATCAAAAATAATTGCCCACCCCTGATCTATAGTCTACATATACAGTAGTATCAGTCTCCAAGATTAAACTTACTCCTCTACATAAAATAACAATATGTAGTTTTTCTCACAATTACAAACAATGCCAACACAAGTAACAAAGTGGCTCACAATTCTAATCACTACAACATCCAGTCTCAGTCTTACATGCTACAACATTCATAGCCTCAGTCTTATACAACATTCATAGCCTCAGTCTTATACAACATTCAAAGCCTCAATCTAATACAACATTCAAAGCCTCAGTCTTATACAACATTCAAAGTCTCAGTCTTGTACTGTACAACATTCATAATCTCAGTCTTGTTTAAACAGCAGGACCTACATGTAAGTGTGCACCTTACCCTTGGTACTGTGGGTAGCCTTGGTAGTACTGTGAAGTTTGAGATTGTGGTGGTACACTTTGCACACTTGTGGGTGCCCCTGGCACACTAGTGGGTATCCCTGGCATGGTGTTAGGTGCTCCAGGCATGGTGTTAGGTGCTCCGGGCATGGTGTTAGGTGCTCCAGGCATACTGGTAGGCCCTACCGGCATACTGGTGGGTACTCCAGGCATAGCTGCCCGTGGAGGACCACCACTGACATCAGATCCACCACCAACATAATGCTGACCTGAAAACAAGATAATGCATTGTATCCATGTCATTAAAACTAATTCCTTCGAATGTTAGTTTCTCCTATGTTTTTCACTTAAATGCATCTCATATCTTAATTTTATGCCTTACTAATTGTCTTAATTTATTCAGACTAAAGGAGTGTAGATTATAACTTGTACACTCACTTTTCTCTTATTAAGCTTTATCCTGCTGAAAGAGGCCATTTTTCTTTTAATCTTTCATAAGATTTTTCTAAATTCATAAATGTCACAAATATATTCTACTCATACTCTGGAAACTTTCCACTCATGTTCTTTTAAGTAGAATTATGATCTACACATCTTCCTGTTCTTTGCTTGTACATTCCTTATTTTTACTTCAACTACCTCAATAATAACTACAAAGCACTTCCTGTCTGCTCAACTTATTCCTCTAAGTGTCACAATAATTCTTATGATAATATACCATAAAAAAAATTGGATAACAAGATCTAAATACAGTGTCTGCAAAAAATATTGATCTTGTTACATATCAAAGACATTTTCAGACTAAATTTAGAGCCTGGTTATTGCACAGCCAGCTAAATTAAATTAGGAACAAAACTTTTCATCTGCTAACTCATAGGAGCTTCGCTCTGTGCACAAGAATCCTGTATGGCCAGTGCGTTTAGCCATATCCTGGGGTAGTTGCATCAGTTGTTGCCACATTTTGATGACAGAAAAACACCGACTGCTTTAACAGTCTGATTTTCATTGTCTCAGAACAGTCACCATGGGTTCCCAAGAATATGTCAGGAGGAAAAGGTTCACATCCTTGCCCTGGTAAGAGATAAAATTTCCTCTGAGGGATATCCAGGATGAGGCACTGAAAAAATTAACAATGATATGCGTGGCACGCAATTTTCCCGTCAAATCTGTCCTAGTTTAGAAAACCTCACAAGGCCACTAACATGCTTTTGAGAAGTGGTGAAGAATCTGACAATATCTGCAGTAGAATTGAAGAAAGCCCCTTACAATCTCTTTGAAGATATGTGAGAATGGACAATTCAACACCAATTGCAAAAGTAGCAGAACATGCTATCTCATTATGGCATCAAAGAAACCTCTCCCCACAAAGAATATTTAAGAATATTCCAGAGCTGGAGTGGCCTGGGAATTCACCAGACCTAAACCCAATAAAAAATACCTGGAATCAGATGTAAAAAATAACGTGTTAATTTAGTTAAACGTAGGGAGCATATAATCATAACCACTCCACATAATTAAACTAAATTAATAGAAAACGGAGACAAATACCAAAAGAATGCCGTGCAGAACACAGTATGCAGGAAAAATAAACAAACAAAAAAAAGCAGAAGCTATTTAACACACGACAAATAAGAGAAATTATTCTAAATGGCATGATATATAAATTTTCTACTCGAGCCTCTACAGTACCTGTACTTAAGATACAGATTTAAAAATTAAAAGGATATCTACTAGTAAGAGCCTTTTAAAGATTTATGCATGAGAAGCGTCACAGTCAAGCATGTTGGATAATATACAGATACTGTACAGTACTATACCTGTACTGTACTTTCTCCTTGGTAATACTGTAGCCTCTACAGTACATATATCTTCACCTGGTAATCCCGACAACTAAAGATATCTCTTTTGGTACTACGTAGATAAGTAATTACCTCGGTACTGTGGATAGGATCCGTGCTGGGGGGCAGAAACAGCAGCTGAAGAAAAATGCACACAAAATAAAAAATGACTTCAAAACTACTAAAAACAAAAATTTGTTCAACTATGATATTTTACTAACTTGTACGATAAACTAATACGTAATTATTTTGTCTGCTTAACATGCAAATGGGAATCAGCACAAGGTGTTTAAGCACATGGAGCAGCCATGCTTAATTTTCCACCAGTCTTGTTTGAATTTTTAATACCATGGTAGTTACCGTCCTCTGTCTCTCTAAATTTATAATATCAATGAAACATTACGGAATTAATGATTTTTAGAACTACTGGAAGTATTTTCATGCTTATTTATGGGTAAAGTACGGTGTATACAGCTACATGTATACTACTATTCCCCCGCCCTACCTCCACCTGACATCGAGTCAGGTCAGGTCAAGTCCCCCCCCCCCAAAAAAAACTTTAGCTTTCATCTTTATTCAAGAAAATTTCAGAAAATTCTCTCGATTTTCAACATCGGAAATTTTTTCCTAAAGACGGATTTTTTTTTTAAATTCCGGCTATTGGAGATTTCCGGATTTGAGTGATTCCAGCTAATGGAGATATTACTATAAATGATGATCTTTCGTATCTAAGGATATGTCTTATGTGGAACCGAGTTTGCTCAACTATAGAGCAAAGTGTATAAATACAAAGGCAGTAATTCAGACCATCATTTCAGAATGTTGCCACTGAATGAGCTCCAGTCTTAATTGTCCTCAAGATAACCTATCCATTAGCAAATGGAATCCATTAGAGTTGATTCCCATTTGGACTAAACACTAATCCTACAAAGAATGGGAGTGCATTGAACCAGTCAACTTCCAGAGCCTGTGTATACCGCCTTTTGTTGTGTCTACCGTATCCATTAAACCATCTTCTGACTGATAAAAAAAAGGTGTAATACTCATTAGTTTATGGCTCCCATGTTTTTATCAAAGTGTAATGTCCCTTAAACTCAAAAAAGTGTGCCACCCTAATAATCAAGTGGCTTTAAAATCTACCCAGTACTGTATATGATTTTTCATGTTGGGTAAATTCTTTTCTACTTCTTATTATTAAAATTTCTATTAAAAGAAAAAAAAATTTGAGTTACCTTCAATGCCTTCAATTCCAAGACAGTGTTTGTAAATTAGAATGGACTGGTTTGGTACTTGCGGACAAATTAATAAAAAAGGGGACAAACAGACAGGTGGACATAAAGCGTTGTAACATAATAAGCCACATCCAAGGGTAAAAAAATGAAAATAAAGAAACTATAACTAATGCACTTAAGCTGCTTACAACAACTGACTTATGTAAGGATCCTACCAAGCCTGAGAAAATTTAAACCTACATTTAAATATTTTTGATTTTTTCAGTTACATAAAATGCTGAATAAAAAAAAATATATTACAGACCTTCTGGAAACAACTAGATCCTTTTGTATAAATGAGTACAGTAGCACCTGCATAGAGTTTATAATTAGGGAAAGTACTGTGATCCTTTTCAAAGAAATTTTAACATTCATCTTAGCTGACCTCTTTAACTGTACTGGAGTGCAGGTTTGTGTGACGCTGGTATGGCTGAGTCCAGACCACAAGACTACACATAAACAATTACAAAAGAAGGAAGAGTACGTTTGATAACAGAAAATGTCACAATAATGTATATAATACTTGTCATTCTCCTGCCCCATTTATTTTATATCAGATGTGTTACCGGGTATCATGATTAAATTTAGTTATAATAATAGATTAAATACTGAAGACATAAATATTACAGGCTGCCTTCATTTATGTGGGAGGTTGTGTTCTCAGAAAAGGCCAGTGTGGAATAAGCAAAATTAGCATAAACAATGATGGATTTCCATAATACAGGTACTGGTATTAATATCTTTTGATTCTTGTTACTGTATCAATATCACAAGTACTGAATTAAACTTACTGCATGTCTATTGAGATTGGTGGATCCTTGCTTGATGTGCTCTACAATTATCAATCATATTTCGTCCAGTTTAGTGATTTCTGATTTCCATAAGCACATATTTTTTTCAATCAAATGTGTATAGGTCAATCTTTATGATATACGTATTCATGATTTCATTCTGGTTTGTACTTAAAGTGCCTCTATGAGTTCCTTTGTTTATCTATCTTATTGGTGTTCACAATAAAGCAAGCAGATATAGCCAACTAAGTGATACATGCCCCACATCTAACCCTGGGTTGTAAGCCAGGTTAACTTACCATACAACAATAAATTTCCATCGACAATATTGTCTTTTTATGAAAAACTTACTGACAAGCTTTATGAAGACTCTTGATAATGCTAAAACCTTACCAGCACTGTAGGTTGGATATCCTGCATGCTGCTGCTGCTGCTGCTGGGGTTTAGGTTGTGATTGTGGCTGTGACTGAGGTGGCTGCTGTGGTTGAGCATGGTGAAGGTATGGGGATGGAGTAGAGCTGCTTGATGCATTAGATGTGTTCTCTCCCGGTGCAGCATTTGGGTTGACAGTTACTTCACCTGAAGGTTATTACAGATATTAAGCAAAATGCATATAACTATCTGTATAGTGGCCACAACCTTTGACATTGTAATCAGTTGAGAAATAATGACTCTACTTTAATTCCTCTCAGTAAAACATGATGGTTACCAAACAGACTGGAAGCAGTGACTTCTTCTTAATCTTTAATATCTAAGTGTCTTCTGCAAGTCTGTAATAACTGAATTTGATATCACCACAGCCTCTGAGAGAGTATAGCTCAAACGTATCTCTCTCTAGCCTAATTATACAAAAAAAAATATAATCCTCTTTTCTGATACCTTACTTAATAACCTCTTCCATCCCACCGCTGTCTCCTACATTCCTCAATAGGTGATACTTCTTAAAAGATTTTTACATCTACAGCACTACCACAATAACCTCTTCAGATTTTCATATCGTTATCTTTAATCTGCTGGCTATCAATATTTCCCTTCGTTTACCATATGGTAAAATAAGCTTGTGTATATATGACAGCAATAGTACAAGTTAAACAGAGCTATCAGAGCATGTTGGTAAAGAGTTCCTGTACATTTAAGACTTTGGTAAGGAGACACACAAACACTTTCTCTGTACTTGTTGCTGCTCATTCACTACTGCTATACAGTTTCCATCCACAACTCCAGGGTCGTTCTCCTATTAATGGCCCCTTCTTAACCCATGCAATTCTAATTTAGTAAGACTATAACAAACACACATATGAAGATTTTTTATATCAATAATTTAAATTAATTACTCTTGTATCACCATAGGTACTTTTGTATAACCACACAGTAATTGGTTTTGTATAACCATAATTATCCTTGACTCGCCATAATTATTCTTGACTCATTATAATTACTCTTGACTCACCATAATTACTCTTCCATTACAATAATTACTATTGACTCATCATAATTACTCTTAACTCACCATAATTATTCTTGACTCACCATAATTATTCTTGACTCACCATAATTATACTTGACTCACCATAATTACTCTTACATAACCACAATTACTCTTGACTCACCATAATTACTCTTCCATTACAATAATTACTATTGACTCATCATAATTACTCTTAACTCACCATAATTACTCTTGACTCACCATAATTATTCTTGACTCACCATAATTATACTTGACTCACCATAATTACTCTTACATAACCACAATTACTCTTGACTCACCATAATTACTCTGAGAAAGTCTAACCAACTAATCCTTTACAGGTACCTCTTTACTTGGACATAAATCTCCAAGTTCACCATCATTAACATCTAAGACCAAGTGTTATTTTAAAATAATCAATCTTCAGATACTGTATAATGAATGACCCGCCACCGACACAGTACCTGTACAGTATATTACCGGTATTCACTTAGTTGATGAATAATATCCCATACAAAATTATTTCTTCACTTTTTAATATTTAACATCTTTCACACTATTCTCCATTTGTCTTAATACTGTAATTATTTTATGTCCTAGCTCCCCCATTTCTTGAGGTTTCTGCATTCCTTAATGTATCCATCACTAAAGTGAGAGAGGAATAAAGATAACGCTGTACTGTACAAGGTAGATATATTCCACTCCACAATCCATGAACAGTAAATGATTTTCACTCAGCACTTACAAAATGATCCCTACTGATATTGTATGAATTTTCTCCCTTACAGTACAGTATATATTTGTCTGATACAATGCAGTTACGGTAACTACTAATTAACCTACCACAACTCCTTCAATTCATCAAGTCAATCATAACATTCTCATTCTAAATTATCATTAAGTGTTTTATGTAAACTTTTATCTCTGGTGACATTAACTAGTTTCAGATCACTGACTTTACTTAATAATACTCAATACTGCACTAAGGTAAGTCAAACATTCAGGGATAGATCCAGTCAAATTTCATTAAGTTTCTGTAAAATGCAATAACTAACCAGCTGTTCTCTTAAACCAGCATGTATACCAGGTTGTTATCATGAGTGAAATCACAATCAGATAAGAGTGAGGTCAATTTACATTACCATATGACACTGACACCACAAAAGTTTATAAAAAATATTTGTAGATAACCCACTGTTTATTATGACACTGTCAAAATGCCACACACAAAAGGGAATTTCCTCGTTCAAGGCTGATACATAACTACAGTATCTGCTAAACAGGAGAACATAGCCCAGTTAAACCATATCTTAAGTTACTACCTAACTGGTTGACTAGCATCTACTGAATGTTATTAGTTTACTTAAGTATGGTTAAATAGCATCTAATTAATGTTACTAGCCGACTTAAGCACAGTTTGGCAGCATCTAATGTGAGTTATTAGTTGATTGTTGCATGGTTCAACAACTTCTAATATGTTACTAGCTATCACATCGCAAAAATAATAAATAAGGCTTATGGACAGTCCATGCAGTGAACTCTGACATTGTCTTTCAGGTTGGTTTCTTCTGAGTTATATCCTATGATGCAGAAATGTGAGTTTTGAAAGACAGTCAGTAAGGATGTTTCACACCACATATCAACGAGAAGAAACAGTCACTTTAAATCCCCAACTATGGACAAAATATGCAAGGTAGAAAATCCTTTGTTTTTTATTATTTTCTTCTAAATTTGTCTGTCCAAGATACTACTTGTCATATCTATAGTACAGTATATCACTCCCCCCCCCCCAACCCCCCAAAGGAAATCCCTAACTGAATTTGCCTCCCACAGTAAACACATACTGCACAATGTGTACAATAACCTACCAACTCATTCGCTGTGGCAGCCTTCAAGCAAACTCTGATGGGGGCTGATACATTAATCTCTCATATACAGTATTGAGAGAAGATGAATTTATCAATAATTAGATGTATCCTTAGAGGGTTAAGTACATGTTACCAGATACTTACCAAAGAGGTAAAGTACCAGGAAAGGTGATGCACACATGTCTGAAGAATAACATGCATTTGTGTCCATTTCCTCTTATTTTTGGGTGTTGGTGGTGAAGAGGTAACACACATGCCTCTTACCACTTCCCGGCACGGGCCAAATGTGAGAAGGGTGTTATCAACATGACTACCAAATACCACAAGTTTTCTCCGGTTTCCTCCTGTATTAACACTATACAATGAAGGTCATAACAAAGAACAGACTACTTGCACAAATGGCTACCAAGCTGGTAAGCAGTAGAACCGATAAATGCCATCAAGATATGAAAAAGTTGCATTTCCCCAAAAGATCAGAAACAGTTAAAAATAAAGACGGATATTAGAATACTGTACTGGTAATCAGAGCTTGGGTACAACTATATATTTACCAAAGATTCACTAGAAGTTTCCATCCATAATCAAGATCATAAGTGGAAAACCTGAGATGTCGAAGAAATCAATGAAATCAAATTAACAAGCCACCCAGAGTTTGTAACCGAAGGATAATAGAATAGACAAAAATATAAATTTCCCTGGACAAGTGTGACCAAGGTTCATACAAGGGCCACAAGGTCACCTCATATACAATTTTCAATACTATATCTGCGTCTTCAAAAAAGCCATCAATACCACAACGTGCAGGACCATCCATATCTTTCACTGCTTTTTTACAAAGGTTAGTTGTAGGCAATTCCTGCAAACATGTCCAGAAGTAAGATGGCCAATGTTAGAGAAGTATCATGTACTGTACAGGATCACCGAATTATTTTTTTTAAAGAAGACAATATGAACCAATCCTAATTTAAGGTAGTTATGGTTGGTCCATGTTGTCTGAAAATAAATGGTTCAGAGATCCTGTTTTTAACTCTTTTATGACAGACAGTTTTGCTGTCCAGAGAGTTAGGATGAATTGGTACTTTGGTGTTGCTCAGTTACATGCTATATGTTTAGTAACCAATTACTGTACCTTCAGATAACCCAAAAGATGACATGATGTCTTGGTATATGCTTGCATCTTCAGTTTTTGCCGAAACTAAAAAGAAACCAAATAAGCGGTAAATGCGTGAAAGACGTGAACATACTTTCGCTTTGCTCAGTCTACCTCAAAGCAGATTTCAATCAAAAGAGTTAAGCAAAATGGAATCTGTTTATATCTTAAAAGAATAAAACATTGTACACATCACAATCCCATTCTATTCATGGACTACTGGCATTCTGTTACTTCACCTTATTGTATAATGTACAATTACCAGTTTATTTTTCTTTTATTCCTCTCTTGTAAGCACTTGCCTGCTACAAAACAGAAAATATTTTCCCTTCATTCATAATCTCCAACTGGAGTAACAGATGTGATATACTATGAAGAACAAATCTGCTGTAGGAGCAATTTAATCTGGTAAGTCAGTTTCAAAATAAAATTAAATTGGATTTGTTCATGTCATAGTAGAGACAAGCAATGTAACATAAAACTTGAACTGTTCACTGATGAGTATAGAATGAATGTGGAATAATTTTTAATGAGTGTCAATATGATTTCAGTGATGTGAGGTAAAATGCACCCAAGACTGACTCATATATGCAGTTCTTATACAGTATATATCTTGGGGGGGTTGCACGCCCACCTGTTGGACAAACGATCCTACAACTACCATACACCAACTGAAAATTAACATGATGTTCTCGATATAGTAACACTGTAATTTAGTAATTTAAAAATAAAACTGAAAGAGATTGTGAAATTATTAGGTGTTAAGACTAAATATATTTAACATTCAATTAGATATTTTCTATACCACGGCTGAATACACTCACTGTCACTTTGGATGGAAGCAGATGATGCTGGAGTTGGTGTTCTAACAGCTGGCTGTTGTTGACTGACTGATGCGGGAAGCTGCTGCTGTTGTTGCTGTGGTGGTTGTACAGCTTGTTGCTGCTGAATGTACAAATGGTAATGAATACACTGTAATGTTACCCATGGAAGCTTAAGAAAAATCTCTCCTCTAGTTTTCCTCTTTTTTTTTTCAATTTACTATCACTATGTCAGTCAATGATCATCTTCAACTTTTAGATCCTCTTTAATATCACATATCAAGTTCCCTTCAAACACTAATTTACAAAAAAATTCCCTTACATACATGGAATGAACACCATAACTCATCACTATCACAACTTCAATTCAAAGTAAAACTACTGTAGTTGGTCAAAGCTGCCAGAGGTCTCACTTCACCTAAAAATTATTATACACGTACTGTGCTGTATCACATTCTCAGAAAAAATATTTTCTTCAAATTGTTATAAAATAAAAGCTCTGTTGACTTGGTCGAGGATCCTGAGGACACAAATGAGATAAAATATTCAGGAATTTTAGAAATCTAATAAAGGTAAGAATTCCCAAAAGAAACAAAATATTGCATGAGAATCATATTTCTTGGTCTTGCTAATGTTTTGTTTTTTAACAATTCTAAATTTCAACTAATGTGAATGATATATTAAGAGATGGTTAGTAATGGCTCTCAAAGATAACTGTCATGAATGGATATGGTTTACTGAGTGTGCTTGATTTACAGGGCTCAGAGGTTATATAAATATGGTGACTGGGATATAATTGCCACACATTCACTCAAAAATACTGTTCCGAGTAACTTTACACTTTGGTACATAGCATTATAGTAATTACACTTTCAAAATATGTAGCTAGTATACTGTTTGAAGCAAAATACTATGCCAAACAAATTAAAAAGCCAACTTTTTCTAAGATAAATTTCAAAATAGAGAGAATAACCTGTACCTGATTCTAATGACAAACAAAATACAGTATTAAAGATAAAATTTATAACCTGCTGTTCAACTGGCTGTAGTGGATCAAACTCCTTGGATGAGATATTCAGCTGCATGGTTGCTGGTGGTGCTGGGGAAGCCGAGGCTGCCACACTGCTGCTCATTCCTACGATGAAGTAAATTTCTTATTGATTTTATTCACTTGTGACTTTCATAATTATCTTGCTAAAGTAACTTCTTATCCGCTCAATTACAATGGCAATCCCAGGGACAAGGAATTAGCTCATACTGTAAGATACCTTAACCCACTCAGTATGATAACTTAACCCTTTGAGTGAAATTTTTTTGTTTTATTATACAATATCTCCAAAAAAACAAAAACAAAACAATCCACAGTAATTGTGCTATACTGTACTACTACTCTGCAACACTACATCCTTTTATAGTGCTGACACACAATTACATCATTTCATTCAAAAAATCTCTTTCAAGTATTTCATTCTGAACTTACCATCTTATTATTACGTAGGAGGTATAGCAAGTGTACTGTAATCGACTTTTATAGCAAACCTTGGAAATTATTAATTCTTAAATCTTTATTAATCACATTTCCATAAGAGCCAACTAACCAGTATCAGATTCATTGACAGTTTTAGGAACCACATCAGAGGACATGTCCAAGGCATCAAGAAGAGCAGTCACTCTGTCACGAATGGCACGAAGTTCTCGCCTCACAGCTAATGTCTGTATGTAAAATATCCCTTATATTTTATATCATTAACATGTTATTACTATCCTTATATCCATATGCCATATACCTTATATACACAAACACTTATAATGCACTTAAAAACTTCTTGAGCTTCTAAGAAATCAAAAGGACATTAGCCAAATGCAGTGTTCTTAATGTAAAATTTTGTAAAGTTTGAAACGTTGACAGCTAACTTACAGACACACGTGGATCCTGCATTGTGGTCCTTTGGCCATTAAGAAGAATAGTCAGCTTCAAGATACGGCTGCACTGAATAGCAAAGGCCAGGTCTGAGCTGTCAAAAATAGTCACCAAATCTCCATCTTCATCCTGCAGAGATGAAAAACGTTATAGAAAACAGATACAGAATACCACAGCATAAAAGAAAGGAAGCTACATTTCTATATTTAATTTCAAATCATTTATGCTCAAGATACAACATAAAAATTAGTCATCAAATCTTAAGAGAACATGGGCACACTTTCACGTCTTCAAATTTCAATTATTATTGAGAAAAAATCCCTAACATCCAAATTTTCATGACCACTGACACAGAAAGATCTTAAAAATAATAATTCAACCACAAAAAACCATAAGATAATTCTTTTATAGTAATTAATTATCCACTGTGTTTGAATCAACTGATTCATTACAAAAACAGGTGATGTAGCAACATTATTTTCATTCTCTAATGCCAACTCCAAAAATATACTCAACAAAAGGCTGTTTTACAGTACAGTATCATGGACATTACAGATTCATATGACTTTCAATGACAATTGATTGATTTTTCAGGTATTGTACATACTGTATACACCCTGTACTGTACAACAAACGTAAACACCCATGCCTTTATAATATACGTATTGTACAGAAGAAATGACAAGAACATTTTACAGATTACCAACCTCTCTTGCTATGTAAAAATTCAGAGAGGAACTATATATTGTACAGAACAAATACTGTACAGTATATAGGAATACTTCACTATTTACAATTTATATTTTAACACCCATATTTGATACTCACAAAGCATACCCTGCTTATTCACAAAGCAAATTAAAAAAACCCAGGGTATTGGTATTTCTGTACAGTACTGTACTCTTTATCAGTAAATATTCAAAACATATGAGGTGTGGTTCACTAAATGAACTTTCAGGAGAGACTACATTAAATTAGTTTCATCCCAAACATTTTCACTTGTTTTTCAATGCTAATGACAATTTGAGAGTTTTCAATCCTAAGTTTTGCCATTTCTCTGTAATTCTGGAGCTGATAACCACATAAATATATTAATGCCAAATTCCAAGACTCAATATGTTTACCACAAATAAATTCATGTGTAACACATTGAAATTTTAAGAAATTACTGTACAGTACACAGAATTTTGATTTTAAAAATGCAACACCAAGTTATACTTTGTGTAACATATGTAACATACTTTGTACTTCAATGTAATATCATCATCTGGAGACAGTGATCCACGGAAGACTCGTTGCATCATAAGGATCAATTCATCATATGTCATATCTTCATTGTGGATAGGGATTCGCCTGATGTCTTCACCAAGTTGTGCCTGGAAATAAAAAGTTCTTTTTTGATACATTACAAGGGATGTATGGTGTACCTACTGGAAATCAATAAACTGTGTGGGGGCAAATCTGAAAATCTCAAATTATGAAGGAATAATCAAAATAATTTTTTATCGGAACTACTGTATTAGTATTCAGCTATGTGCAGATTGAGGAAACATCTCACCTTAATGATAAGTTTGCCAGACAGGTCAAGCCCACTGTCACTACTGCCAGCTCCACTCATACTGCCGGCAATCACCTGATGTCTATATAGCTACTTCTGAATGGTGTTTTAATATTTTCCGGTTTTCCTTGTCTGTAAAAGAAAAATTACAAGAATTTTGAACAGTAATTCTGGAAAATTCAGACTACCACAAATAAGATAAAGAAATGAAACCAATTTACAATTTGCTTTACCATTATAATAGGGTTCAAAACCTCAGTGAGAGTAAATGATGAGGAAAGGAAGGAATATGAGCTGAAAGTAGGGGTCCATCAGGGATCTGTCTTCAGTCTCCTGTTCATCATGGTGCTGGAGGCAATATCCCAGGACTTTAGGACTGACTGCCCTAGGATTTGAATGCTGATGACTTTGTGCTATTAGCAGATGGTAATGAAGAGGTAGTGGAGAAATTTAAGAAATGAAAGGATGGAATACAGTAAAAAATCTCGAGAATAAATGTAGCAAAAACAATACAGTTCTATAATACATTCTGAGACCATATCCATGCCGTGCTATATGAAATTCCGAATTATCAAATGCCGAGTTATCGAGAGTTTACTGTAGTTTTGATGGCGTCTGTGCGAGATGGATGTACTGTACTACAGTCAGCCACTAATGTCATTTATGAATTTCAAGAAGTTTCCAAATGTTGTTTAATTGTTTAAATAATGAAGAAAATTATACTAATGAACTGGCAACTCAACTAGAACCACAGCTGCCACAAGATTCTCACATCAGATTTTCTTAATTATTTAAACAAATATACAAACATTTGGAAACTTCTCATGACCTTAAATAACAATGAATAGTTTATTATTATAAAAATTCTACCCTTGGTTTGGTTAATAATTATCCTGACGGTGATACAGCCAAAAACAGATCCACCAATCACAATCACCTTTACGTACAGCCTTACTTTACCAAGTATTGCCAGATAAAATTGCGAGCACGATACCCAGGGTGGGGTCGGTGCATCTTTGGCTGGCTGCCGCATTATTCAGCGCATTTTGGACGATGAAGCAGCAACCGTTTTCATTTTTAGGGATCACTGTGCTTTTGTTTGATCTGTAAAGTGTCCAAGATATAATTCAGTGTCAATACCGTGTAGATTACAATGTATGGTACTGTGATAAGAGCCGAACACGGTCGAAGACGCCACTTCCTCATTCAAGTGGCATCACTCTATCTCCCTGTATCTCTTACCTAAAGTAAGTTTCTTACACACTAGGGGTTAGGTAGGTTAGGTTAGGTAAAGTTTTTACATTGTTTGACCTTCCACTTTTTTTTCAACATCTCAACTACTGCTCATTTCCGAAGGCAATGAAGGTCATATTTGTATTCAACACTATAAAAACCCATTTTCAAAAGTCAATTAGGCAGTGGTAACTTCTAAATATTGACCAAAAGTATTTTGGGTGAAAACTATGGAAAAAAAAGATTATGAAAAATAAAATTTTCTGCCTGTTTTGAGATATTATTGAGGTAAGAAAGCAGTAATCTTCTATAGAACAGCTGTCTAAAGTTGCTGGTTAGACCGAACTACTGGCCCAGAGTATTGTCATTCTTTGTAAAGAACTGACCCAATAAAAAAAAAATGGTTAATATATAGGACTAACCCGCCAGGGCTGCATAGCGCCGATGCAGCCGTATCATCTCACATCCAGAAAATGCCTCAAATTTCACCATATCATAGTAAGTTATTTCTGTTTAATCTACCGGGGAAGTTAGATAAGGCTAGGTAGGTTTGTTTGGTTTGGTTAGTTAGGTCTGTTCTTCAAAACCACAAATGTTAAGTAGCGTTTATTTTAATAATATAATTTTTTTTAACATATTTCCACAAACTACAACAGTGTCCACTATAATATAATAATGAAAATCAGGAGTTTTTATAATTGTTTTCAATCAATTTCGCTCTCGGGTTAGTCCTATATAATTACTCCAAATATTACAAATTGAGAAAAAGTACGAAAATTACTAGACAACAAAGGAATTAAACATTTGTATGGTGACTACTACATTATGGAACTCAAGTAATGTGTTAAACCTCCCTCTCCTCCCTCCTGGTAGAGTGTATGCGTCATCTAACAACCAAAATTTTGTTCTCTTCAATAAATCCGACGATGTCTCCTTTAAAGTTTTTTTACAGCTCTTACACTCACCTTGGAATCGCAATTTTTATTTAATTGTCTAAAATCGTCTGGAATAAAGTTAAAGGGCCTGTGCAGCCTTGGGTAGTTACTGAATTAGAGTTAAATGTCACTCACAGCCACAGACGCTGAGGGTGAGTTGGAGGTAAACAAACCAGCGGGGACAACGAGCCTATGATGAGATATATTGCATCATATTGTAAGGTATAGATAGAAGCTACAATTTCATCACAAATAAAAAATATAATACGTTTGTTTTAATATAATAGTATATATATATCACTACAGAGCTAAAACACTGGGATACACGATTTTCTTACCTTTGTGCGACCAATTACACAATTTTGAGTAGAAGACTAATATTTTTTTTTATTATAATCATACATAAACTATATTAGATTTTCTTCAACGAAAATTCAATAAGCTGAAGAAGGCTAGCATTTTCCTTCCACTAGAAGCAGACGGGTCTAACGACAACGTTTCATTAGTAAGCCCCCCCCCCCACGAACTATTCTCCCTGAAACACGACGAGCCTCTGGTAATCTCCCTGCCATCCTCCATCCCACAGAGTATCCTCCCTGACACACTATCACCCTTTGTTTATCTCCCTGTCATCCCCCTCACGTGCTGTTCTCCCTGACACACGACGAGCCTCTGGTAATCTCCCTGCCAGCCTCCATCACCACATATTATCCTCCCTGGCACATTATCACCCTTTGTTTATCTCCCTGTCATCCCCCTCATGTGCTATCCTCCCTGACACATTAACACCCTTTCTTTATCTCCCTCTCGCCCTTCCCCCCCTCCAACTACTATCCTCCCTTAAAACAGCAAGCCCTTTCTACTCTACCTCTCAATGACGTCATATCTATCTTCGTGACGTCATTCGAACCTTACTTTTTTATCTATGACGTCACACGAGGTTTTTTTTTATCTCTTCTCGGCGACTGAGTAAAATATTTTTCGCTCTGAAGCTAAAATATATGACTATACCTTTTCTTCTCTCGGTCTCCTGTGCTTGGAGACATTTTTCTTCCTGGTCTCCTCTGCTTGGAGACATCCTCAACTTTCTCTCTGCTGATCTAAAACACATTCTTATTTTTCTCCCCGACGTCTTGAAACACCCTGAAGTAATTTCCCCAGCGTCCGTTAACAGTATACAATCTGAATACACACACGCCCGTACAAGCGTATAATCCAGAAGGGAAAATAGTATTATTGTAATTATATCGAGTCTCGGTACATCTGCAGAGCATAGGTCATGGGTGTGTGTGTGTGTGTGTGATGTATCCCAAATGTAAAAAAAAAAATGCTCTTTTTGTATCATTTTGTTCAGCGTTGTAATAAAGTATCCACTTGGTCAAAATGTACCCAAATGATACTTTAGTATCCCCATTGGGAACACTGATGCCCCTCCATACACTCATGCCCTCCCTCTTCTCGTCCCCAGCTCCTTAGACAGCACTCTCGTTCCCAGCACTTAAGACACTACTCTCGTCCCCAGCTCTTAAGACACCATTCTCGTTCCCAGCTCCTCTTACACCACTCGTCCATGGGCAACCATAGGTCACATATTACTACATACAGACAGTAATAAGGCTTTTACCCCCTTAATGCATGAGTCATAAAGGTAAGCAAGAACTACGCATGCTTCCCAGATGGGCGCTGTAAACGCTCCGGCGCTTCACCTTGCACTGGATGTAAAGGGGTGCCCAATAAACTAGCCCCCTCGGGGGCAATCTAATCTAAAATCTAATATGTCACATACACTAACGTCAACCATTTAGTATCATCCAATTAATCCGAATTAAGATATCTGAAACATTTAACTTAACTGGGACTCAGAATAAAACTCAAAATGTAACAATAATTCAACTCAACTCACAACTTCATCAAAACACCACATAAACTGTCTCTTAAAATCCATTCAAGAATATCCAAGTCAGCTAAATATCCTGAGTGCCAAAAGAGTCATGTAAAGCTGGATAATTAACTGACGGATATCCAACACAACCGTTATCTAATTAACAGTAAACCAATTTGGAACTAACACGATTGCCGAAGCTTAAATCTGAGTATAATTTCGAGTAACTAGGTTATCAAGTAACTGGTTGGGGAGGGGAGGGAAGGAGGGAGGAGGAGGGGGGAAGGGAGGGGGTGAAGAAGGAGGGGAAGAAAGGACTGGGTAAAGGGGGGAGGGGGGAGAGGAGGAAGGGAGAGGGAAGGGTGAAGGGAAGGGAAGAGAGGGGAGGGGGGAAGGGAAGAGAGGGGAGACGAGGGGGTGAAGGAGGGAATGAAGGGGAGGGGGTGAAGGAAACGGAGCAGTGGGGCGCAAACGAAAAATGGCAACAATTGCCTTATGTGTAAAACGGCAGCAGTGGGGCATCTTTATTCAAGATATCTTCAAAGGCGAAAGCTAAGGTGCTCCATTGTTTCCCCCTTTCCTGTGTGATTTTATCAAGCTATAGCTTATCCACGTTTTCATTGTGGATATATATATATATATATATATATATATATATATATATATATATATATATATATATATATATATATATATATATATATATATATATATATATATATATATATATATATATACACTGTTGGTGTGTTGTCTGAGTTGTTTACTACTCCCACTACTGTGTTTTGTGAATGAGTGGCGACAGGCCAATTCCACTTGGACCTCTCAAACACTTGTCTTTGTTTTGAATGGATAATAATGAGTCATTTTCATTAGCTATTCTGTTGTGTGTGTGTAGTTCTATTCTATGCTGCCTTAATGTTTCTTGATTAATAACTCACGTTCAATTGTGAAAGCTTTCACCACCCACCCACCCACACACACACACGTGCGGCTACATCATTAATATAGATCTTACTCTGGAAGTGAAGCTAGCAAATGGTGGGGTTATTTTCACCACAAGTCAACATCCGGAGGGACGGGAGTTGCTGAGGCCCAGGTGAGGAAGAGGCCCTCACCCCACTCGTCTTGTCTGCGACGCCAGACACCAATATAAACATCTACAATGAGGTATCGTGAGAGTGAAGGATAGTCTGGCGTAGCTACGACACCACGGGGCAACACCTGACGCTGTTGTTTTTGGTTTTTAATTAAGGTGTTATCATCTGTCCCAAATAGTAATAACAGAGGTTAAGCTCCTGTCCATCACTTTCGGGCCACACTCTTTATGACTCGTAAGTGATGATGTAATAATGTCCCTGATTGTCTGCCTTCATCTTAACCTCTACATTAAGGTTCAAGAATACTATCAAATTTACACTGAAACTCTTCCTTCAGTAGAGACTTTCACCAAACACTAAACAAAATTAACGTACGTAATTTGGGGGGGAAGATTTTGGATGTAAATTTGGTCCCCCCGAGTTAAGTGAAGTGAAGGTATCTATCTAAGCAGAGTCTCAGTGTGATGTTTAAACTATTTCTGGACGTTGTTTGTGTGTGATCTTAAGTGAAGCAGTTAGTTACATCTTCAGTTACGGGTAATAGTGGTGGCGGACTTGCTGCCCGCCTTATAACACCACCTTACCCAAGATACCTGCGCTGATGAGCTTCGGATAACACAATGGTGTACAAGTGATCTCTTAAGGTCTATCGTCCCGAGACACAAGGTGCACTAGTCACCTGTGTGGTGTGTCGGGGGGTGGCGGTGTTCCCGGGGTCGCGGACTCGCAGGATGTGCCAAAGAAAATTGAGTGTTGGCGCCAAAATCCACTGAGTGCTAATGACTCTACTTCAATCGGTTGTCAACTTCCACGTCCTGCGCTCCCTGGCGCAAATATTTGCTATTGCCAAGGATATTATTACCGAGGCTCCCCGAGTACCATAAAAGAGCGCCAATGAAGATAAAACGTGAGATATTATACGTCTGCACATGGAGTAGCTTTCATAAGAGTGTCCTTGTGGAGCGGGGAGGAGAGTTACATCTTGAACTCCCGTACTGTGTTTACCAGTTCTATTAAAACCTTTTCAGTGTGCCACCATAGCAGTCGCCATTGTTTATCATGGTGTGTGTAATGTAGGGTGAGAGGACGCTCTAGTTAAGTACAGTCCCAGTGCAATTCTACCTACATTTTGGTTGTCATACCTGGATCCCTGGATAGGTAAATCACTTAGATGAGCTCTGTTATTTACTGTACACTTAGGAGGAAAATTTAACATAGGCACATTTTTAAAAACCCATTTTAAATTGTAACTTACGTGAACCTGCTCTTTGCGTTCTCCATACCTTCAGTTAGGGGAAAATCTTATCGTAAGAACCTTTGAGAATCGACTGTATATGTTGTAACTTAAATGAACCAATTAAAAGCGTCCGTCCATCTTCAGTCAAAGAACAAAATGACCTAAGAATCTTTGTTAAGTCGATCCTCTGTGTGACATTTACCTCCGCCGCTAAGTAGTATTCACCTGGAGGATAGCACACCCCCTACCTTGCTTCAACTGATGATTAAACAACCTAACGCAATCTGGGGGGTTAGGTTAGGTTAGGTAATCTTGAAGTGGTCCGTTACGTGTTATGATCATCCCTGGACGCCGCCTTTACCTGCGTCACCATTGAAAAAGAATTAAGCAGAAGTTTCTCTCTCTGTGTGTGTGTGTGTGTGTGTGTGTGTGTGTGTGTGAGAGAAACAGCGGTCACCTTGATTACAGGTAACGGGAGTATGTGGAAAGGTGCGATAGCGGAAGGAGTTCTTGCATCTTCTGATTAACACACACACACACACACACACACACACACACACACACACACACACACACACACACACACACACACACACACACACACACACACACACCATTTTAAACACTCTGAATCTTTTTGTCGGATATTCAGACTCAATGAATCACCACACCATCCAGCACCCCTAAGCTATACCAATGTGAATCTCCAATGAATATCCTAACAACCGAATCACCACCTTACACCATACGAGCAAGATTGAGCGATATATTATCCTAAAATATACTCAAATATTCATCCAAGTGATTCATCCACACCAAGGAATCTTCTCTAGCCTTGATGAATATTTACCCAGTGAATCACCGTATCTTTGTCACTCTTTCTAAACTGACGTAATATATCAATTTAGACTTTTATTGAGGGGTTTTTACGGGTCGTGTTCAGTGTGTATGAGGGAAAGTGATGATTAAAGGTGGTGGTGATTTAGGTGGTGATTGAAGTGGTGGTGGTGGTGATTTACGTGGTGGTGGTGGTGATTTAGGTGGTGGTGGTGATTGAGATGGTGGTGGTGATTGAGATGGCGGTGGTGGTTGAGGTGGTGGTGATTCAGGTGATGGTGGTGATTAAAGTGATGGTGGTGATTGAGGTGGTGGTGGTGATTAAAGTGGTGGTGGTGATTGAGGTGATGGTGGTGATTGAGGTGGTGGTGGTGATTAAAGTGGTGGTGGTGATTGAGGTGATGGTGATAAAAGTGGTGGTGATTGTGGTGGTGAGGGTGATGGTGGAGAGTGGTGGTGGTGATTAAGTGGTGGTGGTGATTGAGGTGGTGGTGGTGATTGAGGTGATGGTGGTGATTGAGGTGGTGGTGGTGATTAAAGTGGTGGTGGTGATTGAGGTGGTGGTGGTGGTGGTGATTAGGTATGGCCTCAGGTGATTCAGTTGAACTTCAGGTGATTCACGTATGTCCCAGGTGATTCAGGAGAGAGAGAGAGAGAGAGTAAATTATAGACCAGAGAGACACTATATTCCGAATTTTCTATGTGTCATTTCTCAAGGTTAGGCCGTGTGGGTGTATAGGAGTATGTGGGGTGCGTTAAGGTGTATAGGGGTGTGTTGGGGTGTGTTGGGGTGTGTTGGGGGTGTGTTAGAACTATTAATAATAATAATAATTAACGGTTAATGAAAAAGTTCTGCAGCCCGAAGGTTGAAAATATACATTGGACATAAATGACTTATTACATACATTGGTGGTTTAACAAAAGCCTTCATTAGAGAAAGGTAAAGGAACATACAGCTTAATGTTTACAGTGGAGGTCACGTAGATCTTGTGCACTGAGGTGTTGAACAGCAGACAAGTAGCGTAGTAACTCCCTCACAGATGGTGTTATGAGGGGCATCACGGGGTGTAGTAACTTAGTAGGTGTGTGTGTGCGTGTAATGTGTATGAGGGTGTGTATGGGTGTGTGTGTGTAGAGGTGTGTTGGGGTGTGTGATTTAGGGGTGTGTAGGGGGTGCGTGAGAAGGAGTGGAGGCGAGACAAGAAGAGCGTGGTGCAGGTGGTGGGGCGGGGCGAGGTGGGGCGGGGCAGGGCAGTCAGGGCGGGGCAAAGACAGGGCGGGGCAAAGTCAGGGCAGGGGCAAGCACAGAAGGGCAAAGACAGGGCAGGGCAAAGTCAGGGCAGGGGGCAAAGACAGGGCGGGGCGAAGTAGGGGTGGGGTAAAGTTGGGGCAGGGTGGAGCGAAGGACCAAATCGGATATGAGGTTGGGGGCGGGGGCGGGGACTGAGAGGGTGGAGAGGCGGAGCGAGGCGGTGTGGATAGAGGGGTGGGGCAGGGTGGGGTGGGGCGGGGCATCGCGGGTTGAGGGGCCGGGCCGGGGTGCAGGTCGGGGCAGCAGTGTTCGCCAGAAGGTGTAGGAAGGAGGTGAAGCAGTCAAGAGTAAGTGGCCCTTATGCACCGCTCTAACTAACAGTGCCACATCCCTCTTATAGTGCCACATCCTTTCTACAGTGCCACATCCCTCCTGTAGTGCCACATCCTCTCTACAGTGCCACATCCCTCTTATAGTGCCACATCCTTTCTACAGTGCCATATCCCTCCTGTAGTGCCACATCCCAATTAGTGCCACATCTCTCCTGTAGTACCACATCCCTCCTGTAGTGCCACATCCCCTCTGTAGCGCCACAGTCCTCCTTTAGTACCATATCCCTACTGGTGTCACATCCCCCTCTGCAGTACCACATTCCTCCTACAGTACCACATCTTATCCTACAGTGCCACACCATATCCTACAGTGCCACACCTATATTACAGTGTTATATCCAATCCTACAGTGCCACATCTATCCTACAGTGTCATATCCTATCCTACTGTGCCACTTCTTATCCAACAGTGCCACGCCTATCCCAGTGTCATATCCTATCCCACAGTGCCACATCTATCCTATAGTATCATATCCTATCCTACAGTGCCACATCTTATCCTACAGTGCCACACCTATCCCAGTGTCACATCCTTTCCTACAGTGCCACACTTTATCCTGCAGTGCCACACCGATCCTACAGTGCCAAACCTATCCTACAGTGCCACATCTTATCCTAAAGTGCCACATCCTATCCTACAGTGTCATATCCTATCCTACAGTTCCACACCATACCCAACAGTGCCACACCCTATTCTACCCTGCAGTGCCACACCCTATTCTACAGTGCCTTCTATAGTGGGAGTGTCGCCAGTAATTCTGTAATGCAACTATTAACACCTGCTATCACCTGTTAACACCTGCTATCACCTGTTAACACCTGCTATCACCTGTTAACACCTGCTATCACCTGTTAACACCTGCGATCACCTGTTAACACCTGCTATCACCTGTTAACACCTGCGATCACCTGTTAACACCTGCTATCACCTGTTAACACCTGCCATCACCTGTTAACACCTGCGATCACCTGTTAACACCTGCTATCACCTGTGAACACCTGCTGTCACCTGTTAACACCTGCTATCACCTGTTAACACCTGCTATCACCTGGTTAACACCTGCTATCACCTGTTAACACCTGCTATCACCTGTTAACTCCTGCAATCACCTGTTAACACCTGCGATCACCTGTTAACACCTGCTATCACCTGTGAACACCTGCTATCACCTGTTAACTCCTGCAATCACCTGTTAACACCTGCTATCGCCTGTTAACTCCTGCAATCACCTGTTAACACCTGCTATCGCCTGTTAACACCTGCTATCACCTGTTAACACCTGCTATCGCCTGTTAACACCTGCTATCACCTGTTAACACCTGCTATCACCTGTTAACACCTGCTATCACCTGTTAACACCTTCTATCACCTGCTAACACCTGCTATCACCTGTTAACACCTTCTATCGCCTGTTAACACCTGCTATCACCTGTTAACACCTGCTATCACCTGTTAACACCTGCTATCACCTGTTAACACCTGCTATCACCTGTTAACACCTGCTATCACCTGTTAACACCTGCTATCACCTGCAGGCTATATCAGTATTATGCTTATCTTAACTGTCTACCTTAACTGTCTATTTTAACTGTCTATCTTAACTGTATCTTAACTATATCTTAACTATATCTTAACTGTCTACATTAACTGTCTATCTTAACTGTATCTTAACTGTCTACAATAATTGTCAACATTAACTGTCTATATTAACTGTCAACATTAACTCATGGCTGTATAACTCAAAGCAGCTTAGACGTCACCACATGTCCCGGAGTAAAGCTGACCTTTATCTTAAAGCTTAAAGTCACTCCAGTGTTAAAGCTTAACGTCACTCCAGTGTTAAAGCTTAAAGTCACTCCAGTATTAAAGCTTAAACTCATTTTTACGCTTATTTCAGTCTCAGAGCAAGTATGGTGCCATTTTAAACGCTCTCGTGATAGATAGATAGATAGATAGATAGATAGATAGATAGATCGTCATATAAGTTCACATTGATTCAGCATATAGATAAACAGTACAGGTAAACAATGGATATAGACAGTGCAACAGGTATACCTTAATTAACCTGGGCGTACGGAAATAGAATCAGGTTAGGTTAGGTTAGGTTAGGTTAGGTTAGGTTTTATGCACACCGACACACAAGGGTGACCAAAACTCTGATATATTTCTAAGTTAACTCGAACGTGGAAATAAATAATCCCTCATGTTATACAGCATCCATCAGTTACATCAGGAAAGGAGAGGAAAGGTCAAGTACTGAACTGACTAATGTGAAAAAACGAATCCTAACGCAATACTCTATCGTGTTTTATGTCGGGGGAGGGGGAGAAAATGAGAGGGGAGGAGGGGAGAAAATGAGAGGGGAGAAAATGACAGGGGAGGGATGTTGAGAGGTAGGGGAAAGGTGTTGAGAGTGTGTGGGGGGGTCGGGGAGGTGGGAAAAGAGTTATAGCCCAGTACTGTATTAAGGGAAAACTCACTGGGTGATTTATGGGATGGCAGGGAATAAAACAGGCAGCGATAGGGAAGTACAGTAGCCAAAACAACTATCTATGCAGGGGGGGGGGGGTGGGGGTCGATATGCTCCGAAATCTTACGTGTGATCAGTGACAGCATCTCATATACCACTATTTATCGTCCATGGTCTCAAATTGTTTCTCACAAAGTATGCACTAATAGTTGTCTTAGCTACTGTACATAGGGTGAAAAAAAATAAGTCCCGCATCATTGCAACAGGAGCGGGAGAATTGTATGGGATAGTAGGGGAAGATTTATTATCCAGAGGGAGTATTTAGGGGAAAAAAAAACCCTGAGGTATCCTGATAAAAATATTACCTATAGGAAGAAGCTATGAGAGACTTTTGAAATGTGGGGAAACAAGACGGGGAGAAAGTTATTCGGTAGGAGAGAATTTTAAGAGGTAATAGGAAGTTAGATACATATTATGAGTAAATATTTGTAGTTACTTAGCGAGATAGGGGATGTAGGGGAAAGAGAAGTGTGGTAGGGGAAAATGAAGACGGTGGGAGGGGGAAAATGAAGAAGGTGGCAGGGGAAAATGAAGACGGTGGTAGGGGAAAATGAAGACGGTGGGAGGGGTAAATGAAGACGGTGGCAGGGGAAAATGAAGACGGTGGCAGGGGAAAATGAAGAAGGTGGCAGGGGAAAATGAAGAAGGTGGTAGGGGAAGGTGGGGGAAAATGAAGACAGGCAGGGGAAACAGGGGAAAATGAAGACTGTGGCAGGGGAAAATGAAGAGAAGGTGGCAGGGGAAAATGAAGACGGTGGCAGGGGAAAATGAAGACGGTGGGAGGGGAAAATGAAGAAGAAGGTGGAGGGAAAATGAAGACAGGTGGGAGGGGAAATGAAGAGAGGTGGAGGTGGAGGGAAATGAAGACGGTGGAGGGGAAAATGAAGACGCAGGTGGACGGAAATGAAGACAAAATGAAGACGGTGGAAAATGAAGGAAAATGAAGACGGTGGACGGTGAAAATGAAGACGGTGGGGTGGAGGGGAAATGAAAGATGAAGACGGTGAAGACGGTGGGAGGGGAAAATGAAGACGGTGGGAGGGGAAAATGAAGACGGTGGGAGGGGAAAATGAAGAAGGTGGTAGGGGAAGAGTTGTAGGGTAGGGTATATACGGGGTAGAAAAACAAAAAAATCGAGGTATATTTAGAATTATAGTACCATTAGCTAACAGTGATGACAGAGATCCCTTGACAGATTACTTACACCGCGACGCTAAGTATAATTTATGTAGGTGTGATTCTTATCTTCCTGTGATTATCTGCTGACGGAGGCGGGGGAGGGGGGGTGTATTTGAGAGAGAGAGAGAGAGAGGTGCAAACATTCATGCACAGCAGCTCTCTCTCTCTCTCAATGTGCAAGCAACAATACAAAAGGCCATCTGCATTATTATTATTATCATTATTATTATTATCATTATTATTATTATTATTATTATTATTATTATCATTATCATTATTATTATTATGTCTTAACCATTGTGTACAGTAGCTGCCCCAATTCCCCGGACACTTGGCAATATCGAGTAACTTGGGTACCATGCGGGTCATATACGTGATACGCAAAGGTAAAAATAAATTGTTTCAATTATATATTACATTAAAAATACTACGGTCCAAAAACACTAGAATACAGTGGAAAAGCCGAGATAAGAGATTAATCCTCCCTAATCCTAATCTTTCCTGCCACTAATCTTACCTAATCCCAAATCCTCCCTTATCTTATACACGAACTTCAGATTTATGGGAATTCTGTCGACATCCGTATCTGACTCGGGAGAAATCCTTTGAGAGTTTGGTGATTTAGTGACGCAGTGATTTGGTGATTAAGTAACTTATTTAATGATTAGGTAATACAGTGATTTAATGATTAGGTAATACAGTGATTTAATGATTTGGTAACTGTTTTAATTATTACGTAACAGTGATTTAATGATTAGGTAACAGTGTTTTAATTATTACGTAACACAGTGATTTCATGATTGGGGAACACAGTGAGTTAATGATTAGGCTAAACAGTGATTTAATGATTAGGTAACAGTGATTTAAAAGATTCCGTGATTAACATTTCAGTGACACAGTGATTTAATATCTCAATAATACTGTGCTTTAAGACTTCCTCGATACAGTTCAGTACACACAACGCCCATTATCACACACTGACAGTCATTTTGATGTGAGAACGTATTACTACCCGTCACTATGGATGTTCTGAGTATATGAACTAATTATCAATGAGAGAATGTTATGTAATTAAGGTACAGGCGCAATGTAATTTCGTCTCCATTTGGGTGGTTGGTTATCTTTGTATCGTAGAATAGGGCGATAGGCGACCCAATTAGAAGCATTCTTAACGCTCTGAATTCTTAAGTTTTTTATGTATGTATCTTTATACCTGAACTGGTGGTGGGAAATCTAGTTGTTGTTG